ACCTAGATATGCAGCTCTTAATAACGTGTCACCTTTGTGTTCTGTGACTAGTGCTGAGTGATGCTTTTAATTCACCTGTATACAGGAAAGCTATTGGACACTACTTAGCTAAACAACATCTTGTATACCACTAGCACACAGCACACTGATGTCTTAACTACTACAGCAGTAATTATGGTGATTGCAAAGTATGATCATAAGAAAGCACTGTTCATTTCTCAAGAAAGTGACTTGCATAGACAGGAGATGGGAATAAGGGGTTAGGAGTTGAGATGTAGAGGTCTGGAAAACCACTGGTCTGGACTCATTAAACTGCTTCTTTAACGCCTGCTTTCCTTCAGCCCCGAAATGTCATCTAGACTACACACCTACCAATTAGGAAAATAAAGCTGTTGACAAGCTCCATCCTTCATCTGTCAGTCACAGTGATGTTAAATTTGACACAGCAATTCCTGTTCAGTGTACAAGAGCTCAGCTGCCCCAAAGAACAACAAAAAACTATCACAGTGTTGTAATACATGGTCAGTATGAGCTTAAGGCAGCTCAGGCTGCTGCAATCCAGGTAGATCAAAGTATTACCCAGGAACTATAAAAGCAAGTTAACACCAATTGCTAATGTTGTATACAAAACTAGAAGTACAGCAAACATTAATGGCTATGATTCCTGACTTTCGCTAGGACTTCCTGTAGCAGAAATGCTAAGTCATGGCCTGAAGCAATGATTAAGCACCTGGTGGGAAGGCAAGGCCAAACCAGGGGGAGCTCAGGTGAATGCAATGCAACCGAATGACCAGAAAGGGTGGGACCAAGATCCAACCCCCTCCCCCCTCCCTCCCCCCCCCACCAGACCTCATTTAAGAGTAGGCATTGGAGGTAAGGGTATCTTGTCAGAGATCCCTGCTTTCTGAAGGTGAGCGGCTTTTTTCCTGTGTTTTTGCATTCATGGCTGCTGCACTTGGGCTTGTCCTTGCTTCTTGCGGCCTGGGACTCTGCTACCTCACTATCATTGCTGTGTTTTCTATCATGTTATAGCATTACGCTTTCTGAACTGGCTTCTTAGTGTGTGGAAAAATACTTAAGAATTAGAAATGTAGTTGTGTATATCAAGCAAGGACATCCATCTGCTATTAGTTCACTCTCTTTTCTCAGAAGAGTGAATTCACACAGTCACTGTAAGTAAATATTTCTTTTTCTGGAACAAAGCAGATGTTTACAGTAGTAGATATGTAACTACTACGCTTATGTAAGCATCATAAAACTTGCAGGAAGATGGAATAGCATACTAGAATCATAGAATTGCTAAGGTTGGAAAAGACCTCAATCATCCAATCCAACCATCCACCTATCACCAATAATTCCCGCTAAACCACATCTCTCATTACAGTATATCTAGGGACAATGACTCCATCACCTCCCCAGGCAGACCCTTTCAGCACCTGACTACTGTCTTGAAGAAGTATTCACTAATTTCCCACCTGAACCTCCCTTGAAGCAACCTGAGGCTCTCATCCTATTGCTAGTTGGTAGCAGAGGTTGACCCCCACCTCACCACAACCTCCTTTCAGGCAGTTGTAGAGACTGGTTAGGTCACCTCTGAGCTTCCTCTTTTCCAGACTGAACAATCCCAGCTCCCTCAGCTGTTCCTTTTACAACTTGTGCTCCAGACCCCTCACAGCTTTGTTGCCCTTCTCTGAATGTGTTCCAGGGCTTGTCTTTCTTGTAGTGAGGGGCCCCATATTCCAGCCTTCAGTAAACACCTCAAACAGGCAACTGTGAATCATGCCACCTCTAAACCTGACTTGTCTTACGTGATTGCAGAAAGGAACAGGAATAACAACAGTGGTGAGAAGAAGAAATTGAATCTGTACTTGTGATTTGAAGATTCATATGCTAACATCTGGATATAATTCAGAACACTGAATTATAAATGAGCTTTTAAGCAAGACTAAGCTTTGTTTTAATAGCCTGTCAGATAGTAAAATGCCTACATCTTGGGCATGAAGCATATTAACTGTACTGAAAGGAAAAAAAAGCAAGCTGAGTTTTATTTTACAAGTTAAACTAACCTTTATTATAAACAGAAAATTCAATAGAAACTTCAGAGTATACTTTTAAAAGTCATAGTTCATAGGTGGCATATCAATGATGTCATCCAGTGTAGAAATAAAGTCAGTAGGTGGTTGTAGCAAGTCTGAAAGTTAGAAATAGAGCAGATTAGTTACTCATAAAATCCAGAAGTTCACACTCAAGCTAGCTGCTGGTGGATTAGCAACAGCCTCTTGAATGGCTTCATCAAGTATTGTCAGCTTGTATGAGCCAATTCCTCCTAGCAAATGAGTTAGCAATGCATTACAGAAAGTTACATGGCTGTGCAGCTTTGAGACCACTACCTATGCCAGTAGAGCTGACCAGTTAAATTCAGCTCAGTTATATACCACGAGCTCTTTGAGACAAGTGTCCTGCTCTTGTACTCACAAGAGCAATAGCTGTTCACTACTGCAGCCAACTCGTTTCCTTCCCAAACCACTAATGAGCACTGTATGCACTGGAACTCAGGCTAGTTTTCCACTTACCAGACTCCCATGGCATCTTTTCAAGCTTTACAGGTGAAGAAGTTATGTTCACAGGTTTGTCACAAGTACTTGAGTGTATCATGAGAGGAACACCATACAGCTTGATATTGCTTAATCTGTGCTCTTCAGAAACTTCAAAACTCTCAAAATCTGTTTAGGAAAGACATGCTGTAGTTCAGTAACAGCACACAATAGCATGAGAAGCTGCAAGTTGTCTTTAAGTGAAATGGGAGTATTTCCAGGACAATTCAGTCCAACAGTTCCTTCTCATGGAGTGCTTATTTACAGTTACTTATAAGCGTCCATGAAGTTTTGTATGCTAATGCTTATCTGATGTGTATGTAACAGTCATTATAAAGCAAGAGCTTTAAGGAATTTTTTTAATCCCTATGCTATGTCAACTATATCAAGCAGTATGTATGTTTAAAACATTCAGTTGAGAACAAGGTGATGCTTCAAAAATAACGAATGCCCTTATGTTTAAGAAAGGACTCAGGAAAAACATAATACCAGCTTATTCACCACAACAGCTCAGTGAAAGTCTTACAGCATCAACACTTAGTCAAAGTCTAATTAGTTTTTAATAATTACCCCAAGAGTTCTTACCTAGAGGATCAAAGGGAAACATGTTTTCTATTTCTGGGTAAGCTTCATCACCCACTGCATCCCAGCTTTCTAATCCAGCAGTCTTTTCAGCAACCTTAAAATGAAAAAGTCATGTTATTTGTGCTATCATGTATTCTCAGTGTGGTACCCTTTCTGTGCCTGTAAGCCTGTATAGCATAGAAAAGACACGAGTGCTTGTTATACAGGCTCTCCAGCTATGTCTGAATTCTAACACCTTTGATACAAATAAGCTGCAAAAGGGAAAATGCTTCAGCTGAGCTTGTGTGATGATACACAGTGGCAACAAATCTCTGCAGTATGATGTTTAGGCTCATAACAATAAACATCCACTAAATAGAATATGAACAAGACAATAACCCAGCCAATATTTTGTCTAGAGCCACTTCTTTGCCCTTGTGTGTTCCCTAAGCTGCTGTAGGTACGTCATGCATTCCTCTGATTCCCATCCATTACAGAAAGGTTGTACTCACTTTCTTTGCACTGCAAGGCTGACTTTTATCTTTCATCTGTTCCTTCTTGCTTGTAACTCCTACAGTTCTGTTCACATTTCCAAGAGCTTTTCTGACAGAGTGAGATGTGGCTGGAGTTCTGATTGTTTTTTTTGGAAGTGGAGTACTGACTTGCGTTCTTTCTGATAAGACTTTTGCTGAAGACAGGAAGGGAAGGCAAACTTTAGCACCATATCAACCCTAAAGCTTGCTTCTAATGAAGTGCATGTGCTAGAAAGCTAGTTGTTGTTCTTCACTGATAACTCAAAAGTACAGACCCTGTCTGTGACAAAAGACAAGTGATTTCCACATTTGTAATAACTGATAAACTTAGTTTTATTATTTATCTACTTAACCCGTTCTGTTATTTCTGTTCAAAACAGTGATTAACAAAATCCAGGACACACACTTTACTCCATTCCACACTGCCTCCATGGAGCATATACCCACATGATACTGAAGGGCGTCTCAACTGGTTCTTCGTAGCACCAACTTCACCATTCTCCTTATCCACAAAGATCAGCGTTGACATCTCTGGGCTGATGAGACCACCCTGGAAAGGCATACAAAAAATCTAGCCAGTTCTTGCTAACAGAAACAAGAAAACAAAACAGCAAGCGTTTGAAGAATGCTAGGAATGGTGCCAAGTTGGATGGGGCAGCCTGGTGTAGCATTAGATATGGAGGCTGGCAGCCCTGCATGCAGTGGGGGAGGGGGAAGGTTGGAGTTTGATGATCCCTGAGGTCCGTTCTGACCCAAGGCGTTCTATGACTCTGTGATGACAGTTGCCACGTGCTGGCTCTTAGAAGAGAATCCAGCAAGCCGTGCTTCGTGCCATAGCAGTTTAGCTACAGACTATTGGCCCTGGATACATCAGTGCGCGGACCCACGGAGCTCACGTGGGCTTGAGAAAGATTCGAGGTCTCACTGCAATGCTGCGCGGCAAGGCCTAACACCTTTGGTTTGCTGCCTCGCTTCTCTCCAGCGCTCAGTGCCGCTTACTGCGGGAAGCCTAGGCCGGCGATCCGACTCGTAACGCGAGCAGCCTGCAGTCACAGCGGGCCGCTTCCCCCGGGGCAGAAGGATCGCTCGGCAGCCGAGAAAGAACTCCCTGCGGAGAGTCGTGTGCTTACCTGCGACGAGAGCCGGACGGGACGTGAGAGGGAGGACAGAGCGGGCGAGAGCGGCTCAGAGCACAGACAGAGAAAAGTACAGACTGCGCCCTCCGCCACCAGCCTCTCCAGCCCCTCCGCTCCTCCCATTGGCTGTTTCGACTAACGCTCGGGTATCCGATTGGCTCAGCGGCGCCTTGGGGCAACGGCGGGACTACCGGGTTCCGGCGCGTCGTTGCCGTGGTGACCGCGTGACGGCTCCTCAGGGGACGCGGCGCCTTTAAGGGGCGGGGCTCCGGGCCGCGGTGCATTGTGGGGCGGCGGCGCGGCCTTGCTGGTAAACCGGCGGCGGAGGCGCGGGGCGGGCGCTGGGCCGGGGGCGGCTGGGCGGTAATGAGGAGAGCCTGAGGGGTCCCTGAGGAGAGCGTCGGGGGATCGGGCCGGCTTTGAACGCGTGTGGTTCTTTAGTGTTACAGGGGGAAGTAAAATGGCGTCCGGGACAGCGGTAAACGCAGCTCCTTCGGGAGGGCCGGGCGACGTGAGCATGGAGGAGCCGAAGAAGATGACGAGGGAGGACTGGAGGAAAAAGAAGGAGTTGGAGGAGCAGAGGAAGCTGGGGAACGCGCCTGCTGAGGTGGATGAGGAAGGAAAGTGAGTTCCGTAAAGCAGATTCATCAGAAATTAACAGTTTTGTTTGTGAAATAGTTTCACCTGGAGTTTAACGTAAGAGCTGTTTGTCAACTGAACTGTGTGGTGTTTTTTTCCTGTGCCACGTGTTAATTTCATAACGCCTTTTACAGAGATATCAATCCTCACATCCCTCAGTACATCTCTTCAGTGCCGTGGTACATTGATCCTTCCAAAAGACCAACTCTGAAGCATCAGAGACCTCAGCCGGAGAAGCAGAAGCAGTACAGCTCCTCGGGAGACTGGTACAAACGGGGAGTGAAAGAGGTATGGGGCTGCCTTTGTCCTGAAACAGAGCTTTGGTTTATTCCTGCGTAATAAGAGGAATTGATACACTACAAGTTCTGGTTATGTGTTTTGGAGGGTGAGAGGAACTGGCAAATTGTACTCAGCAAGCATTACCCAAGCATTTGGTAATCACCAAAATGGCCTTTTGAGTTTGGTTGGAGCATGCATGCTTTAGTTGTGTTAGCAAATAAATAAATCTGTTGGTGGAAAATCTGTATGAATCTTAGCACAGGTTTGTTTAATGCAGTCTTCTTTTGCTGTTTAGCACTCTATAGCTACCAGGTACCGGAAGGGAGCTTGTGAGAACTGTGGTGCACTGACACACAAAAAGAAGGACTGCATGGAGGTAAGCTTGATGCTGTTGATATTTTAATGGTTCAAAAGTGAATGTGACTGCAGTGAAAAATGTCTTGCTACAGGTAAAATAGCCGTTACTTTGTAAAAGATTACAAGTGTTATAATGCTGTTTGAAATTATCTAAAGCAGCTGTTTCGTAGGGAAAATAAAGAACAAAGCAAAGAAAAAAATAATCACCATTTAATTCTGCTTGTGGGAAATGCTGCAATAAAACTTGAAAGTGTTTGACATTTAGTTCTTTATGTTAATGTACTTCAGTTCCAGTGTTGGTGTGGCCATCTTTGTGTTTCTTGTCAGCTAGAAGAGTTCTCGGAAGTTAATTTACTTGCTTTCTTTACTGTCTAAGTTAGAAAATGTGGTGGTTGTGTTTTTTTTTTTTGTAGCAGTTGCAGTTATTTTGAAATACAGAACTGAACTACTTGCATTTATTTACAAGTCAGAGGTTTATCATGCTAAGTTTAATTTGCTTTACAGGTGCTCTACTGATATTATTTTTAAAGAGTGGTGTCTCAGTGTATGTTTCAATTGGATTGACTGATCCAGCCTTTTTTATATTTTTTTTTACTTCCAGAGGCCTAGGAAAGTTGGAGCAAAATACACAGGCATGAATATTGCACCAGATGAACACGTGCAGCCTCAGCTGATGTTTGATTACGATGGAAAGCGAGATCGCTGGAATGGTTATAACCCAGAAGAGCACATGAAGATTGTAGAGGAATATGCCAAGGTTGACTTGGTATGTAGGTGTTACAGTTCACTGGGGAAAGACGTAGTGTTTGGGTTCACTGTGAGGAGTGTTTTGCACACTGCAGTATTAGACCTCGTGCTGTAATGGAAAAACTGGATGCGTGCTGTGTTAGCAGACTTCACTAGAAATAGAGAAATTCGGATCTGAGTGTGGGTCTGCCATGCTAAGTGTCTCTCCTGATTGCTTGCGTTTACTAGACAAACCCTATAATGTACTGACCAAGGTGCAGATCAATTTGTAGGCAAAAATGGAATTGCTAAGCAATGCTTACTATCTAGAGTCCTTCTTGTTACTACTGTGGAACAGTGGCTGTTCATACATGTCTCTGTGGTTCTGTGATGTCATGCACATAAATTGTAAATGCTTGCACTATCTCTCAGTGAACTGCCTTAATCACTGAGATTCCTGACTACATTATGAGGGTGCTATGGTAAAACACATTTGTTCTCAAACACTGGTGAACTGAAATAAGCTGTATTTCTTTAATTAGTTGACGCATAGCAATGGTACAAGTGCATGAGCTATAGTAAACTTGCTTATTTAACAGTATACCATAAAACAGTGAAATGGTGAGTTACGTGTAGTTTCCTTTCCTTGGAGCTCTGAAAACAGTGTGATGAGTCTTAAGCATAGAGGAGATAAACTTCAGGTTGCTGATTTTTTTTTTTTACAAGTACCCAGAGAACTGGATGCCCGTTTTCTTGTAATAATAGATTTTAAATGGCAGTGATCACAATAAATGCTTATGACATCACTACATGCTTGCTATTAAAAGGAAATACTAAAACAAATGCATTTGCATGATATGCAGGCTAAGCGTACGCTGAAAGCCCAGAAGCTTCAAGAAGAGTTAGCATCAGGAAAGCTGGAACAAGTGGTAAGTGCATTAAACTCTTAATTTATTTTTGTTTAGGCTGAATAAAAACCAAACAAAGGTTATTTCTGCTCTCTGATGTGTTTATTCTCTATACACAGTTTTCTGTTGCTTTTTATACCCTGCAAAATATTAAAGTTCTTTGTAGCACCAGGTTGTTGTGTGTCATGTACAAGAATTCAGAGTACCTTCTTTCAAATGTGTGACTTCGTATTTTGGTTTTGGACAAAACTTCCTTCTGGTTGTTAACCTTGTAAAATTAATGATGTGGTATTTTAGATTAGCAAGCTCATCTGCCATATAGTAATTCTGCTCATACCCTGAGATGCATGTTGGGTGTTTTTTTTTTAATTTAAAGGTTGTTTTGTCTAATAGTGAAGTAGTGATTATTGTGTGGATTGTTTTATTGTGGTCGATGTAAGTGGGAATAGGAAATTATCTTCTTTATCCTGGAACAAAGCTTGTTTCTTCTTCAGTCATTGCTATGGCTGTTTGCAGTGTCTCTGATTAAATGAAGGCTGAGCGTAGATATTTCCCTCTGGACTGTAACTCTGCAAAGTCTGTTTCTTCCACTTCTGCAGGTTCCTCTTAGATTATAGGCAATGCTTTTGATAATATTTGATACAAAGTTCTGATTTTAATGGCATGTTTTTTTTTCTAAGCTCAATTTCTGAGTTTTAACTCCAGGTTTCTAACATGGAAAAATGTAGGAATTGTTTCTGGTCAAAAGAGTTTTTGAATTGGCATTTAAGACAGAAGGCATTGAGCAATACATGATGTACAATCAGAAATCCATTTTCCAGAGGTTGTCACCCTGCGTTTTGTCACCAGGTGGCAGAGTGAACCAAATCTCTGACCCAGCACAAAATACAGAGTTCTGACCTTCCAGATAAAAGCTGTTATTATTTTTTCTTTTTTATGTGTGTGTGTTCAGTGCAGAATAACATTTAAAGTGAAAGGCAAAGCAGGTGAATAAAAAAATTAGGTTTTGTTTCTGCAGATTGGATTCTGTCTTCTGATTCAAGCTCGGTGTTCTTGTCAGTGCTAATTAAATGTGTGCATACCCAGCTTTTTAATATATATTTCTTTAAAGCTTTCAAAATTTAATCTTGGATTTATTTGCATGATGTGAAATATTCCAATTTCTGTTCTGCTCTAAAGGTATAACAGGCTTTAGGTAATAGTGACAGTACTGAGCCTTTGCAAGAATGGCAAATCCTAGAAATCTGGTTGGTAATTCAGTGACAAGGACTACGAGCTCTTCCCTAGGATACTGAACATGTAGTGATCTCTGTGCATTTTGTGCCACAAGTACATTGTATTTTTATATCCAGCATCAAAGTCCAGCTTTGATTGGTCTTGATCTACCTGCCACCTTTCCTCTCTGCACTATCTTATCTTCTCTGCTGATGTGCTCTTTGTTTGCTGCAGAACTCCCCAAGACACCAGTGGGGAGAAGAGGAACCAAATTCACAGACAGTAAGATGAATACCCACTGCATCACATCATGGGCAGAAAAAAGGACCTGTAGTTAGTGAAACAGCAAAACAAGGGTGGCATAAGGGTTTCAGAGTTGGGTTCAATCACTGGCTGCCTGTTTTTCTTTTATGAAGGGTTTTTTGTTATTAATTGTTGCTTTGTTTTGTGCTTTTTTTTTTTAACTCCTGTGTGTTGTCAAACCTTAAAGGTGTAATCAAGTAACCGCTTGTTAAGGCATGGTATGATTTGCCCAAGGTAGCTTTTTAAATTTATATCACAATTACAGTTTTTTAGTTGGAGGAAGTGGAAATCCTTGATGAGTATTTCTGGAACGATGAATGTAACTGCATGATCCATAAGCACACTTAAGCCCATTTGTAATGAAACCACTAAAATCAGATTCTTATATTTCTCTCTAGAATGAATCACCGCTTCTAAATAAGTTATCCATCTCTGTTCTTAGGAAAGAGATCATAACAGTGAAGATGAAGATGAAGATAAATATGCAGATGACATTGATATGCCTGGGCAGAACTTTGACTCTAAAAGACGTATCACAGTTCGGAATTTACGTATTCGGGAAGATATTGCAAAAGTGAGTAAAGAATACTTCACAGTTTTTCTTTTTCTCTTCATATTAGCTAATTTTAAAAGTTGAACACTCTGTTATCACTGAGTTTGAGTGTGAGTCCCTGTGTTAAGGTCAGTTCTCAGCTCACTTCGAGCTTATTTTGTGATTTTTTCAAGGTCACTGTCCCTTTAAAATGTCTTAAGTTGAGGCATCAGCAGTACTTTCAGTTCTTTGAAAACCAAAAATGTTAATAAAATACCTTCTCTTCTCTTCTTCCCCTAGTACCTGAGGAATTTAGATCCAAACTCTGCTTATTATGATCCCAAAACGAGAGCAATGAGGGAGAATCCATATGCCAATACAGGCAAGAATCCAGATGAGTAAGTTGAAATGGTCATGCTGGTGCATCCAACAAAACTCTGTTAAAAATGAGATGACTTTAATAGTTTTGTATTTTATTTTGAATCTGTATGTCATGTTATTAATTAATCCCTGGTTAGTTGCAGGAGGAGGAGTCTTTCAATAATGCTTTACAGTAAACGTGCAGGAGTTATTCTGTTTATTAACTTTATGGTTTAGTGTATAAAAGTACTATTTCATTGATACTGGTCTTTAATCCTCAGGGGTACATGGACTATTATTTGCTAACCTGACATAGAACAAGGATTAGAACACTCTCTTTTCTCTAAAAGTGGTATTTATGAACAGTGATGATGATGCTTATGCAAAGTATTTCAGTAACCGAATCTAGAACTTCCTCCCTTGTTTGTTGGGAGGCATTCAGCACTGGAGACCTCTAGCATGGAGTGTCTGTGTTCCCTAAGGGCCAGAATCAGGAACAAAAGCTCCCCATGTATTCAGAGAGCCTGCACAGAAAAAGTCTGAATGTTTTATTGTTGTCTAGATAGGTCACTTGATTAAAGAATACTGTAGGAGGGCTCTTGGTTGCACATAACGCTGTCTCACCTACAACCTGAGTCAAGCACTTGAGCTGTGACCCTGCCTTGACCTGTGTGGTGCTGTGGACATGCAAAGCAGACAGATTGCAAGCAGAAACATTTATTCAGGGTACAGTAATTGGATTAGCTTGCTGCCTGAAATGGAATGGCAGTGGCTCAATGACAGCAAATAATGCTCTTTGCACCTCTGCTTGCCCCCAGATAGAGTGAAGCTAGTCAGTTTTATTTCAGATGCAGGTGCTTTCTCTTCTCCCCGGTCATAATTTGACCTTTATTGAATCTGTGCTTCTGCTACAGTATTGCAGACTGGAAACTTCAGGGTGGCTATGGGGAGGTGAAAACTGAATTTGTTAACATAATTTGATTTCTCAACCTGTGTTCCAGCTACAGTTTGTGAACCTCTACGCAGAGGTGAGCAAAAGGTAACCAAGGGCAGTAAAGCTCTTACCAGGCTTTAAATTGCTGAAATCCACTGAAGCTGGGCAGGAAAGATTGATAAATCTGAAAGCTGAGAATCACTGCTTGAATATCACCTGATATTCATGTCAGATCCAAGCATGACTCAAGGTGGAGCTCCAAGAAAGTGTTGCAAGATGTACCCATATAAATGTAGGCAGTGAATATTCCGAAATGCTGCCCAGTACTTCCATGACCACTGGGAGCCTAGGCTTTGATTTCATGTATTGAGCGGAATGCTCCTTTCCCTCCCTCCTCTTGCAACTCAAGGCACAGAGAAGTTTATTTTCCTGTTGGTGTTCCATGACTGCTTTTAAAAGACAATCACATAAGCTGCGTGCTAAAAATAATATTTTTCTTTTTTGCAGGGTTGGTTATGCAGGTGACAACTTCGTTCGTTACACTGGAGATACCATTTCAATGGCACAGACTCAGCGTGAGTGGTTTCTGTTTTTCTGTGACTTGCTGGGCTTTTTGTGTTGGGTTTTATTTCTTGGTTGTTTGTTTTTAAGGAATAGATTTAAAGGATTTAAGTTAATGCTGCTCTTCTGCAAAAGAAAACTCTTTTTTAGAGTGAGGTTTTCTTTCAAATTACTACAAAATTGAAGATGGAAATTTGAATGAGTACATGATTTGAGTACAAATGTTGAGTGATGACTCTTGTGTATACAGTGTTTGCTTGGGAGGCTTACGATAAAGGCTCTGAAGTTCATCTTCAAGCAGACCCTACAAAATTAGAGCTGCTCTATAAATCCTTCAAAGTGAAAAAAGAAGACTTCAAGGCACAGCAGAAAGAAAGCATTCTAGAGAAGGTAACACGCGTTTGGTTTTATTTAGTTAGAATTGTCGTTTGAATTCTGGTTCTTAGAAAACAAATATGTAATGTAATGTGAAAACATAGCAGCTATTCTAATGACATTTATGATATGTAAATTAAAAAATTTATATACACTAATCTATTAGAACCATTATTTAATACAGGAACCTTTGAAGATCTACAAATATTTCTTTAGATTACTGTGAGAGCTTCCCTTACTTGACAAATTTCTCTAGTGAAAAATCTGACACCAGTACATATGATGAATTCTAGATATTTTGTTTTAAAAATAATACAAGTGGTTAAAAAAAAAATCCATATGCTTTAAAAGTGGTGTCTTTTGTAAAAAAAAAAAAAAAAAAATTAAAATTAAAAATTTTTAAAAAAATACCTCACCAGCTGTGTCACAGAGCTTCCTTAAATTTTTTCTTCTCTTGAGAAGCAGTTTTCAGAATCTAGTTTTAGATGAAGTCGTCTTAATGAATATGTATATTTTATATTTTGCTGTTGGTTTTTTGGCCAACTGACAAAGAACTCAATCCATGTAGGTTCTGACCTTGCTAACATGAAAGTGTGGAGGGGGGGGGAAATGTGCTCAGTTGTAGTAAGGTTGTCCTTTGTAGCCTTTGATTTGATCTGAAAAGTTTTCCTGCTTTGAAACATCACTAACATAAGGATATCTGCCGCTGTAGTCCTCCAGGAATAAAAGAAAAGTCAGTGGCCATAGGAGATGCATTTCTCATAGCCTTTAGTGTTGTATTTCTGGATTTATGTGCTGTGGGTAGAGAAGACACCAAAGGTGACATTCTTGAAATGTATGGTTAACTATATAGGTAGGTTTTCTTCAAAATTCTCACACATGATTTCTTCTTGCATTATAGTATGGAGGGCAAGAACATCTAGATGCCCCACCAGCTGAGTTGCTGTTAGCTCAAACAGAAGATTATGTAGAATATTCTAGACATGGAACAGTGATCAAAGGACAAGAGAAAGCTATTGCTTGCTCTAAATATGAGGAAGATGTGAAGATTAACAACCATACAGTAAGTACCTAGTTGAAGGGAAAAAAAGTCTTCCCTTTGGAAGGGAATGACATGTGGTAGATGCAGCACAATATAATCAAAACAACATATAAATTTATCCTTCTGCAAAGAAGGAATTTCAACCTCGTTATCACAGCATGAATTTAAAGAATTATGATGACCATCTTGAACTGAAAAGGAAGTTACTATGTTTCCCTTTGCTGTGAATGAGTTGGCCACATCCTGTTTTGTTGTTTATTTTTAAATAATACCTGTAAGACTAATGTAAAATTGCTAATTTCTCATAATTTCTCCCCTTTGGGCTGTTTGAATAGGTTACTCATCAGGAAATAATGGCAGGAATAAATTGCATCCTGCCTCGTAGGGGAGTGTCATTATGACTGCTCTGTCATCTTTTCCTGCAGTGCATTTGGGGTTCATACTGGAAGGAAGGCAAGTGGGGTTACAAATGCTGCCACTCATTTGTCAAGTTCTCATACTGTACAGGAGAAGCTGGGAAAGAAATTGCTGTAAGTATATATATATATATTTTTTTTAACTATTTGAGAAGAGTTGGAAAGCATTCATCTCTGTAAGCCTTAGATGATTTTGCTTTTTTTTTAACTTGTCCTTCTGCTTTCAAACATGCTTTGTAAATGGATATCCTTTCTCTTGTCTGCCTTACAGAATGCTGAAGCAAACGTACTAGAGGAGCAACCCAGGGAGGAGGAGCATGTGACAAAACCCAAAACACTAATGGAGGTGCGTTGTTTCCCTTTCTAAGGGAGATATTTATCACTTTAAGCTACCCAAATGTATATGTAACTACAAAATTATTTAAGTCATTTTAGTAAGTCTGGAAGTTAAAGCTCTGAGTAGCATTAGTAGACAGTTGGGATTTAGTGGCTTGAATATTACAACTGTCTACTGAATCTTAACTGCTGCTATTTTTCCACCTTGTAGATCCACCAAGAAAAACAGAAGGAGAAGAAAAAGAAGAAACACAAAAAGAGCTCAAATTCAGATAGTGAGGGTGAAGAGAAAAAGAAGCAAGAAAAACTTAAAAAGGTACATTCAAAAGCACTCCAATTCTTTCTGTGGCAAAAAGAGCTTCAAATGCATTGTACATCAGGTTTATGAATTCTGTAATAGTTCTGCAATAGAATTCTGTGGACAGTTCTTCTATGTTAATTTTGAGGTGAACCAAACTTAAAATGCTGTTAGATGTTCTAAAGTACACTGCTGTTATTTCCTGTTTCTCTAGCTTTGGAAGACTTAGTTTAGAAGATACAGAATACTTCCTTCCTGGTCACCTACTACTATTACAGATATCTAAAAGAATCACAGAACACAGCAGTTTTTCTATTAAAGGAAGATGCAGAGATAAAAAAAAAAGCACTGTCAAAGCTCAGCATAGCATTTTTTTAATCCCATAGTTGGGCACCAACTCACAGCTAATAAAATAAATCCATTCACAAGCTATCCTGTCCACTGCTGAATGGACCCTGTGCAAACACAGCTACATGTCTTTGGGTATCTGAAGCAAATTAACACTAAACTATAGTTAATTTAAAAAAAAAAAATCCTACTATTTTTTGCTTTTCTAATAGTGTAGTAGTTGTTTGAGGAACTGAAGAATTTGTATTTCAAAAGGTATATTTTCGTCTAAAAAATTACAGCCTAACTGAAAAAAGACAAATCAACCCCCTAACATGGCATATTTTTGTACTGCCAGGATCATGATTACTTTTTAGGTAGAACACAGGAGTTTCATACTTGGTTTTGGCAATTGGAAAGAAGTATCTTGATTGCAAAATACCAACTTACCATTGTCTTGTGGTTAAGACTAAAAAATGTGCATTAAACAGCACACAAAGTATGCTGTAGGTAGCTAGGCATGTGTGTGTTGCTTATCTTAGCATTCTGCCTGCTCTATCTTTGTTATACTAGGATTTGATGTAAATTTTCGTTTATTTTTTTCTTTATTATTTTTCTTTTTAATTTCATTGCATTTTTTTCTTCCATTTCAGGCATTAAATGCAGAAGAGGCTCGTCTCCTGCAAGTTAAAGAAATTATGCAGTTAGATGAGAGGAAGAGACCATACAACAGTGTATATGAGACCAGGGAGCCAACAGAAGAGGAAATGGAAGCCTATAGAATGAAACGTCAGAGACCTGATGATCCCATGGCCTCTTTTCTTGGACAGTAGTTGTGCTGAAGATCATTCCAATACCCAAGACTTTTTTTTTCTATGTTTGCTTATGAGTCTGCAGGCTGTTCCTTTCTATGCAGCTAAGAAATGCCAGAAAAATGGCAGAGATCTGTGTACCACAGAGGCTGGTGAAATTCTTTCAGTAGACTTGAGCTGTCTAGTACTTAAAACAATGTTATGTTTGTATGTATATATGCAGTCACAAATATATATGTACATAAGTGTATAAATGCATTTTAAAAAATATACACTCTAAATTCTTGATTGGAAAAGAGAAGATCAGATATTGGCTGTAATTCCAGAAGTTCCGGTTCATTTGGCCATACATGAAGACTTAACTAATTCAATAAAATTAACTACAATGAAGAGAAGATCAACAGGTGTCACTGTTAATGTATAGCAGTAATTGTTGCATATAAATTTGTGCAGCTATTGAAGCCCAACTTTTATTTGTAAAAGGGCTTGCCTGTCACACGGCTTTAAAGGGAGAAATAGTGTTTGATCAGTTTTCACTGAGTATTTTGGAATGTGAAAATAGTTTTGTACAGTTTTGATTAAATTAATGTAAAAGTCTCAAAAACTATCTAGCTGTTGTAATTAAAAGTTCAGGAGAAGCTGACCAGAGAGCTATAAAATTCTCATTGTGTTTCTGCAGGTGTTAGTGCACATTTCAGCTGCAAAGATCTAAGTTGTTTAGTTTTGTTTCATAACAATATACATCTTATCCTTAAACCTCCTGAGTCCAGTTACATTGTGTGGAAGTGATGGTTAGATATCTACCTCTTGCTGGCGTGCAGCATCTGGGTGTTGTTTGGAAATATTTGTCCTTAAGCTGTGAGTTCTCCACCGTACTATTAAAAGCTGAAGAAGTGGGTGAAAAGCTTCATGCCGTAGTTTTGTACTTGGAAGGGTTGAGAATTAGTGCAGAGATTGTTTTTATGTTTTCATGAAAAACACAGATATTTAGAAAGTCAGAGGGAAAGAGGGGCTGGGGTGTAATTTCCCTTCTGCTTTACCAGTGACTCACTCTCTAGGTTTTCACATCAGCTCATCCTCACCTGTCTAGTTTGTGAATAATTTCAAAGGGAAAAAATAACACTTTTCTACAAGTAGTTATATATGCTGAGTACAAATTTGAATGTTTTGCGTATGATTTTGCAGCCACCTTCTGAGGTCTGAGCATTTCCATTTAGTGTACAGTAAAATGGAAATTGTGCGTTAGGCATTAAATTGGTTCTGTGTAAAAACTTACCTGTGCTGTTGTCATTGATCAGTGTTTTGGATCACTTTATTGTGGTCCATAGATCTCTTGTTACAACCTTTGAATGCAAACTGGCTTTGAACGATTTTTTTCTGATGTAGTTGTTTTGAACTGTAATACTTTTGTACTGGCCAGTACGACCTCCAGGTGCCAACTGCTGATGTCTTAGTGCCAAGCTGAGCGTGAGGGATGTTAAATCAGTCTGTGCTATTGGTTCCTTGAACTATTTGGATACTTTTTAAAGGTAGAGTCTTGATTCTTTTATAAAGGAGGCAGTTCAGAAATAACATTGAAAAGAGCAATAAAGAATGATAAATACAATTCAGCAGTCAAGCAGCTGAGCACAGTAGTGTGTATTTTTATGTGAGAAAAAGGGCGAGAGTTAAAGGCACCTGTATGTGAAAGCTCATGTAACATGCTCAGTGCTCTAGCAAGACAGGTTTCTTACAGAAACGTACCAAATTCCACCATGAGTACATTTATGTGATTGGATTTTCTGTCCAGTGCCTGAAGCCATGAGTAGCTCCCTATCAGCCCCTGTCTTGCTCTGCTCAGAAAGAGCCTGGGGGACTTATGTTTCCCAGAGCAGCCAGCTGTAGAGTGAAAAAGCATTAAGACTCATGCAAAGTACACTTCTTTGGACCTGTGAATGACACAGAGGATCTCTCTTCTAGGTCAGCCTCCACAGTTAAAGGGAAAAAGCTGAAAAAGTATTGTTCTGTTTCTATGACAGAGGTTAAATGTTACAGAACATCACGCATTTGATTGTGAGGATTGATTTTCCTCCATCTGCTTCCCCTTGCATTTGGCATGCAGTGTGACTGCGTGTCCGAAGATCACCTCCCCTTGAACGAGCAGGGTTGGGTTTGTTCTTTTGTTTTTTTTTTCTTTCCTAAAGTGAGTTGGAAACAAGTTTATGGCCAGTTATGGATGAAAATAATCATACAGTGGAAAGCAGCAGAGATGGCTGCAATTGTTTCTTGTGTGCATAAAAAGACAAGGGAGATGAGAAGAAATGTAGTAGCCTGTTAATAGAACTTGTCACGTTCTGAAATCATAATACAGACCAGACCCACCCAGCACGCTCAGAGCAGCTTTCTCTGCATCTCACCCTTGGCAGAGTTCAGTGTTCATTTTCCCATCTCCCTTCCCAGCAATTGCTTCAATTACCTCTCTTTTTTTCCTCCCTGTTTGAATCCTGGTTCTCAAGGCACACTCAATCTGCGAACTGTGAGCAAGATGTTGATTTGAAAGTGTTTATATTTAAGCATGCAGGTAAAATATTCTCCTTTATTTTTTTGCTGATAAGCTTATTGTTCTGTGTTACGTTCCTTCAAGGCACATCAGAAGATGGTTCTTTTACTGTCTTCCACATTTCTTTGTAATTGGATCTTTATGGCTTTCCTGAGTGGATTAGTGAAAGAGAGGTGCTGTTCTACATGTGTGCAATTGTTCAGGGATCAGAGCATAGCAGGGATCTTAGCAGTAGTCAAGAATGAAATGGAATTGGTCCTTTAGGGAATTAAAAAAAAACAATAAAAACTGCAGAGACAGGATTTTCTGTGCAAGCTAACACAGTGGCTAGGCCCAGTGCAGCCCAATAGCTGTTTTCCATCCCATGTTTGGATATATTTAGGCCAAAACACTACATGCAAGCAACTTCCTGTTGTTCTGCTAGCTCTCCTGGTGGCGTTAGCTTTGCTGGATGCAACACAGAAAAAGGCAAAAAAAAATTTAAGTTCAGCTAGTTATCTTACATGGAACAAATCTGTTCACTTCTGGGATAAGTCAGGCAGAGACCTGCCCAGAGATAGAAGGCAGGGGTGGGCTTTGCTTCCACTAAATACTACCATATCTCAGACCTCAGTGGAACAAAAAGAAAACCCTTTGTCCAGGGAAACGTTGTTCCATGGGCAGATGAGCAAACCCAAATCTTCCTAGCAGCAGTCTTAAAAAGATATTCTCATCATTTCATTGCGTTTTAGGAAAGCCATCGCCCTGCCTCCTGTTTGCACTGCACTCAGGTCCAAGCACAGCCCGTGCCCTGCCCTGTTCACTCCCACTGCACCTCAGCAGTGGGACCTTCCAGCAGCACCTCCCCTCTCAGCTGTAACCCATTGCTGCTGGGTGCTGAAGCACCTGCTGCAATGCTCCATCAACACAGGGCAAGGAGACACTGCCCACGTCAGCGTGTGTCCTGGGTCTGCACACTGTGCATGGGCAGCACCCTGAGAGCTGCTCTGAGATTCGCTGGGAGGAGAAAGCCTGCTTTCAGCCAGCTCCTTCTGTGGCATGGCTGCTCCTTCTTGCTTAGAGATCTCATACTGGACACATATAGAAGCAAAAGCAGAGAGGGCAGCTCCTAGCAACTGAGAGCCAGTGCAGCCCTACAGCGTGCTTTATGTTTTAGGAGCAGCAGAAAGTCAATTTCTAGCAAATTAATTGTTGTCTGAGAACTGAAAATCCAGCTCTAATGTTAAATTCTCCACTTGGAAAGCAACAGAAGAGGTGGGATTTGTTCTGTAGCTATTATTAGCTGTGCAGACTGTCACGGCTCACAGGCAGTCTGTCTAGGGGATGCAGCTTTGCCTTGCAGGACAGAGGCACTGAATTGAGGCACTCGACTCTCCTGGCCTGGGAAGTGCTGCCCTCATCCCAGCCATTGCTGTCAGTGATGCTCAGAACTAAGAGATTTTGCTAACCCCAGGTCTGGCTCCCCTGGGCCTTCAGAATGTACGCAATTACTAAGAGTTTGCAAGGTTTCTGGATCAACTCTTGTTTTTCTGCTTTGTTTCTCGTCTATGTCTGTATCTGGACTTCAGTTTGAGGAGATCATTTTGCATTTTTTCCCCACTCTCTACTAAATAACCAATCTGCTCTCCCTCTTTTTGTGCTGCTTTCAGATGCTCACTCAGCTCTACGTAACCTGCTTTTGTGTGCCATTGCATTTCATCGCTCAGTGTTCTGACTACAGGCTTGGGCTCCTGTAGAACTCCATACTAATTTCCCATGCCTTTTTTTAAGCTTTCTTGAGAAATGCAAGGCATTTTCAGAACAGTTCTTGTCTAAATGTGTTACTGGATAGCTCAGCAGAAACCAGTTGTGGCAAGTCAAAGAGACTGCTGGTTTTGACTTAGAAGACACATAAGAAAAAAGAAAGTCCAAAAAAAGAAGCCAAATAAACAAAACCACAGCACTACTTGTCTTCTGCACACGCTGGCAGTGTCTCACTGATGTTTGGGCTGGTTCCCACTTTCCTCCTCCCAAAATAGATCTATTTATTTTTATCTTAATGGGTTAGGACAGCAGCTTCTAAGCAGAGCTGATGGTCTCAAGCGTATCCTTTAAGTTTAAAGAGCGATTTGTCTGATTTTATGGGGGCTTTTGGAGAGGGACAATCACTCTCTGAAGAGTGCTCAGAGGCTTCCAAGCTCCTTTCAGGCAGGGCAATAAAAGTGACTCAAATCACCACTCCAAGCTCAGCCAGCAGACCTGCTGCAGAGAAAATGCTTTTTTCCTCCCATTAGTATCTTCCAAACATAAAAATGAAAAAAAAATCAAAGGCCCTGCACTCATCTTTGAAGAGAGACGCACCTGCTCAGCCATCACCCTGCTTTGCCCTGAGGGCTGCCTGTTAGGCCACCTCCAGCTGCAGCTGCTTCTGTCCTGTCTGACTCCTTGTGTCTGCTTACGAAGGCACTGCCACGAGCTGGGTGTCTGTAACAGTGCGTTCAGCCTCCGAGAACCAGCAAGGGAAAACCCTCTGTTGCTGAGATACATGTCTTGTAACAGTCTCCTGCAATGCATGAAAAGGAAAAGAATGGAGAGCTGCACACCAGGGCTGCTCTGCTTCACTGCGGAGGGGCGGCTCATTGGTTTAACAGCACGTGCTGCCAGCACGCTTCCAGCTCTGCTGAGTCCTGTTCACACTTAGGTGGGAGAAGCCAATGCAGGGTGCAGGGAAGAGGAGCCCGTGGACAGCAAGATACACGTAGTATTTGAATGCTGTCACAGTTCTGCTGTATTGGTTGGTGCCCAGGCAGCAGAGAGACATCCCCACCCCTCCAGGAGTGGCGTCACCAACTGCAGGTCACAAAACCAATTGCAGATACACTCCATTTATATGTTTGTCTCTAATGCAAATAAATGCAGCTAAATCTGCTCTCACCATGTTCTGAGAGCAAATACTGTCGAAAACTCAAACAAACAAACAAAAACTCTGAAAACAAAAACCAACCACATCAGATCTCTGATGCAGACAAATTCTGGCATGAAGAGGAATGACACCTGCGAAGCACTCCTGCTCTGCTGGCCCTCAGCACAGGACAGAACACCAGGTGCTCGCTAGCTGGCAGCAGCTGTGTTGGCCTCAGAGCTGGCTGCCAGCACATGTGCTGAGCAAGGCAGGGCCCTGTGCCCATGGCCAGCAGCCCCAGGGCCAGCCCTGCCATCCCACAACAGCTGACTGCATCCCACAGCAGCCAGCTTTCACTGCAGCACCGCTTCCAGCACTGCTGCCTCATCAGCAACAATTGCTGGGGCTTTGCAATTACTTTGAAAGCTTAAAGCAAAACCTCAGCCTTTCCAAAGACAAAAACTTTCGCACTCCATCATCTCAGTGTCAGTCTCCACGCTTTGTCTCACACACGCTCCTGCAGCACCTCTGTGCGGTACCTGCTGTCTTCTTTCAACTTGCATTTTTGCAAAGCTGCTGCTTCACAGAGATGTCATTCACTCCAAGCCCTGAATGATCTATCCTTTCTGCTTTGTCTAAATTATTCCATACACAAGAAGCTTGTTTCCACCCTCAGCATGAGATTTGCTTCCCTTGCTAGTGCTATAAGATTGAACATCAATCCCTGTTGCCCATGGCCCTACAAACCCTGCCCATAGGGGCAGAGCAGAACCCACCCAGGCCCAGCTCCACAGCAGCCTGCAGAGGAGAGGAAGGGGGAAGGCTCCTCAGGCACCCAGAGCTCCCCAGCCATGTGTGTGCAAAACTTCTGCCCACGCCACGTGACAGAGGAAGAGGCTCAGATCCATTACACAATAATAAAAATATGCCTTTGGCAAAGCTGAGCCAAAACCTAGAGCTGCAGCGGGAAGCCAGCAATACATGCAAAACGGGGAAAAACATTAATAGAAAAGAAAAACCCACCAAGTCAGAAGCACAGAGCACACTCGGAAAGACGCAGTCGCAGGAGGACGGGCTTTGTGCTCCATGATGTGACAGCAGTCTGCAGCAAAACATCTGCTGCAAGCTGAGCGGAATCCCAGCGCCTGTCAAGACCTCACTGAAGAAATTAAGCCTGGGTGAGTACATTCCTTTTCCCTGTTTTTTTATTTTGATTTGGTTTGGTTTGGTTTTTTTTGTCCCCCTCTTCCTCTTGACTTAGCAAATGTGAGCACTCAGGTTTCCAACACCTGCACATGAAACGTAAAGCCAACAGCCCAGGTTGGAAGAAATAGTCAGGGAAGGAAACAGCAGAAGAGGCAGTGTGGTTTTGGGTGCAGGAGATTCATCGTTCTCCCTCAACTCCTTTAACATTACTGTGCAGCAGATCAAGTTCATATCAGCTATAGCAACTTCACTGGCTTATATCAGAAGTTAAATGCATGCTTTTCAGCTTTCCCTCTCCATGCAGAGGCTTTCACTGTCACCGCACTGTATGAGTCCACTTCCCTGCCAAAAATCCCCATTTGACCACTATGCCTGGTGCCAAACCACCACCACATCCAGCAAACCCAGGAGACTTTCCCCTCCGGTGTGGTCTCAGCCCAGCTACCTCACAAGCACCAGGAGGTTCAAGCACTCCTTTGCTCCTGGGGCTCACTCTGATAGGCAAAAGCTTTTCTTGCAGATGCTCCTTTTTAATGCTTATTCATATACAGAACTAGAACCCATGGGGATCTACAGCATCATTTTACGCACTAAACCAATCCCAAGGAATGCCTTGGACCCCAGAGCAGCAGTTTGTATGGATTCAGCTGAAGGATGAAGGGCACATCGTCCCTGAATCCCAGCAGATGGTACCTGTCACCACCTGCCTGTGGCTCATCCTGCCGCCTCAGGACCCAGACATTCTCTGCACATTTTGGAGCCTCTCCCAGAGATCAGAGGCTGCCAATAGATGGCCCAGCTGTGATGAGCCTGCCAGCATCCAACGCTGACCTCAGAGCAGCTCAGCATTGCCTGCATCCGCAATCGCCTCATCTCTCCCCCCTCCCCCTCCAGGCAGTGCTCAGCCATCAGCCCTCAGCCCTCACAGCACTGGGCGCAGGGTGCAGTCCCACACAGCAGGCATTTGTCAAGGCCAAAAGCCTCCAGAACCCTATCACAAAAAGCATTAATTAAAACGTTTCTGTAAAAGTGAGACCTCAGCTGAAAATGTGCTGCATGGCCTTCAGTGCCAGGTCTGCTGCTTGTACCGAGGAGAGGAAAGATGCTGGTCTGTTTCCAATTTGCTTTTTGGAACTCATTGTATGTTCTACACCGAGATGCAATTTTCCTTTTAAGGTGGAACAGAACGAGTCTTTTTTCCTTTCAAAGGGATTCCTTTCAAAGGTTATTTATAGATGCTCTTGTGAATGTGACACTGCTGTGATGTGGGATGCAGTGCTCTTGTGGAGCCCCAAACTAGACATGCAGAGCACCCAGGTGGCCAAATGTTCCCCATGTTTACATGTGTCGGTACCTGAACTTCCCAGCCTCAGGGTACTGTGTGTGTTACCCCACTGGCTTAACTAGGGGCATTGCCTGGAGGTAAATAGAAAGTTTCAGAGAAGTTGCTGCCCTCTTCCCCATGCTTTACTCCTTCTCATTCCTTCTCCACACAAAGTAGTCCCATCTATGCTTTTCCCCAGGTTATGCTCCACAACAAAATGCCTCCTTGCCACAACCACTTAAGAGTCAGCCATCTCCAAACACTTCTCCCTTCTCTTCTGCCCCATCTGAGGTGGTTACTGGGAAGAGAGGATGGAGCTTTCCTTAGGATCTCCCCACTCCAAAGGCATTTTAGCACTTTATTTCCATTTCTGTAAAGCGAGAAGACTTTTTCAGCTATCCACGTTAATACTGGTTGGTGGTTTCAGTTTCACAAGGCCATTAAACCAACACTTTTCACCAGCAAATAAATTTGGGTATAAGCAAAGCAAAAGAGCCCAGACGAAGGAAATGGCTTAGCAGGCACAACCAGCTCAGAAATCTGTTCTGCATTTCCTACTCCTCTGCATGTTCTTAATTATACATCTCTCAGAACCAAGGGGCTCCCACTCAGCATTTATATACGGCATATTGCTGGCCGGATCTGGAGCATGTAACGTGCATTCCCACCCCCTACAGGAGCTGATACCAAGGCGGGAGCACTAAGGCAACACGAAATGTATGCAATCCTTCAAACATCTCATTTCCAGTGCAGGAATTGAACATAATGCTGCCAGAGAGATGCTAAAGACTCCCAGTATTTGGCTTCATGCCACACAGGATCCTGCCTGACCAAAAGGCCAATGAAAGACTGGGGATATCGCAGTTCATCTGTCTATTGCAAATTTGCCTCAGCACCAAAGCATGAAGAAATATCTGAAAGGCAGTTTTCTCGCTTCATAATCCCTGCTTCTGTATTTAGCTAACAGGACTGGAGATGTGATAAGAAAGCCCACGCAAGTGGATGAGCCTTTCAAAATATTTAAGCTCCTCCAGTACAGGGTAGCTGTAGTGAGGGAAAAGACTGCATTGCATAGAGCTTTGCCACCAAATAAAAGTGTGCACCTCCTAGCCTGGAGCTCAGGAATTGTATCAAAGTGATGCATGCCTACTCCTTTGGCTTGATCACTCTTGATCATGGAGTGACTGAGAAAACAGTGAACCAGACAGAGATGTTTTAGGTTTTGTCTCATTTCTCCAAGCGCTACTCCAGCTACAGAAGGTCAAAGAAAGAAACTGAGGCAGAGAATGCCTTTCATCTCCCACCAGCTTGTTTCCAACTGAGACCACTGGGAAACAGCCCAACACCAAAAGCATCTCCCTCAGTACATGGTCAGTGCCCGCAGCTCATGGCTGTGACCTCCTTCACTGGCAGGAGGAGAAGAAAATCCTCAGCCTGGACACCACCACATGCATAGCATCCTCCAGAGCTGGGAGGGAATGGCAAGAGGACCTTCATTCATCTGCCAGAAACTGATACCATAGGGGAAATCCTCCTTTTAAGTACATCTGTAATGAGATGCAGAAGCAATGCAAAGTCTACTTTACTCTCTTCTGACATTCAGAGTCTCAGGCAGGTTGTGCATGAAGATGAGCTCCTGTCAGTCAGATAGATTTCGAGCACCTTCCCTAAGCTACCATCCCGAGCAACATTTTAAGATGCAGTGGAGTTACTCTGTGTGCAGCTCTTTGCAAACAGCTCACGTGCAGACATCCAGAGAGAGGTGTTACTGCATGATAACTGCTCTGCATCACTAACAGTTCCACAGGAATAGTTTTATTCTAGAAATGATTTCCTATCAGAAATCTGTCCAGGAGGGGAGTCAGACAAGCCCAGGACAATCAACCTCCTCTGTCAATGAAGGCAGAGGCAAGGCTGCTCCAACAAGTGTAACAAATGTTGCTGTATTCTACACCTAAAGCAATGGCTTATGGTCGAGCCAGGAGAAAAGCAGCAAACAGTGCTGTTAACGGCCATCCATCTTTCCAAGGTTAGCGAGAGCCACGAGCCCCTGCAGCAAGGCAGGTCACAGCAGTGGTGGCTGCAGCAGGGCTGATCCTGGCTGCAGGCAGTGCAGCTGAGCATGATGAAGAAGGGGAACCCCAGGCAGGTGTCCTCAGCTAGCAGAGGCTCAATGCATACTATCAGGCAAAGCACATTAAGAATTTCCTTGACTGACTTGGCCCCAGGCCTCCACAACTCAGCTCAGCCCCACATCACCATAGAGTTTGTGCTTGGACCCTGTAATAGACCCAGCTACACAACAGCAGTGCATGTTTCAGGGCTTTGGCGTGAGCTTCCCCAGTTTTTTCTTCCTCTGCTCTGCTAGTCCAGAGCACCTGCTTTCTGTACCTCTCTGCCATCTTTGCTCAGCTTCTGGCGGAAAAAGCAGGATCAGGAAAGGGCAAAGAGGAGAGAAGAGGTAAGAGAGAACAAACACCAAAACAAAAAGCTCCCCCACCCTGCCAAAAGAAAAAATCCCAGTTGTGCCCCACTTCCATGCAGCCCTGGCAGAGGGCACCCTGCTGCACCCACACACAGGTTGCCGCACACATCAGCCGAGCCCCCATCTCGTTTCTCCAGGCTGTGCCATGATTTCTGCTGTCCTCCTCCTCTGGACTGTGCCCTGCGTGGCCAACCACATCCTCGGGGGCTTTGCCAAGGCAGCGCTGCAGGAGGGCCCCCAGCTGACGTGCAGCCTGCCGGGCCCCCCCGGGCCTCCTGGCCCTCCTGGTGCACCTGGGACTCCGGGGACAGTTGGCAGGATGGGCTTCCCAGGGAAAGATGGCAAGGACGGCAAGGATGGGGACAAAGGCGATCACGGTGATGAAGGTAAGAGGGAAGAGCTTCTTTGCAAAACAAGGGTAAAGTGTAAAAGCATGAGTGCAACAGCCCAGTTAACGTCAACTTGTCATCCCACATCCAAGCCTCAGAGCAGGCTACATCTCATGAGACACTTCCAGGAATTCAGCCTCCTCCTCTCAACATTCCCCACTTCTCAAATCCTGCCAGTGAGTTTTGGATTCTCACGCTGTGTCCAGGCGCTCCCACGTAGCACTGCCACAGCAGCAGGTGGAAACTTTTATTTTCACAATATCGAATCCTTGAAAGTCTAATCAGCCTAAGCAGCAATAGAAAGTATTTCAAACATCACCCCAAAACCCATGCCAAAACCTCCCAAAACATATTGTTTGCCGATAGATTTGTAATGCTGCATGTAATTATTTTCATCTTCCCTTTGTTGTTGCACATATTTCCTCCGGAGGGAGATTTTCTGTTTTGACACACACACATTATGTGAGAGACAAAACACTGGTTTCTGATTCCTGCTTTCAAGGGAAACAGAATCAAATGAAAAATTAAGCACTGATTCCCTGGAGCACTCTGAGTGTCAGGCACTGCTCTGACCGTGCTCCATCAAAACCAAAGCACACATCCACCCTCCTCTGGTCCTGCAAAGGGGCTCTTTTTTCCATCAGTCCTCACTGTGAGCATCAGGGGCAGCTGGAGGCAGAAGGCAGTGATTTCCCATCACCACACTAGAGTGCACTCCTGGTTCAGCATAATGCCAGTGTGCCAGTGCTACATCTTCTCTCACACTCAGAACAGGGAATCTAGAGAACATCTCCTCTGACAGCCATCCACCCTTGCTATGGTAGGTAATAAGACACAGCGTAAATCCCAGTCTTTACATGATTTATGACCTGACGTGTGTCCAGCCCCAGGTGGTATTTCATTGGTTTCTTACCACTACGATTTTCCTCCCAAATGAAAATATACTGCTGCAATGATACAACCCCTTTCCACTTGTTAAACCTTCACTAAAATGTTTACAAGGTTATTTGTCTTTCAGGTCCACAGGGCAGAACAGGAAATCCAGGCAAGCCGGGACCAAAGGGGAAAGCAGGAGCCATTGGCAAGGCAGGCCCACGAGGACCAAAGGGTTTAAAGGGTAATCCTGGAAAAAATGGAGCACCAGGAAAGAAAGGACCCAAAGGGAACAAAGGTGAGACTGGGATGCCAGGACCCTGCACCTGCAATGCTAACAAAGCCAAATCTGCCTTCTCTGTAGCTGTCTCTAAGAGCTATCCAAGAGAAAGGCTCCCCATCAAATTTGACAGGATCCTGATGAACGAGGGAGGACATTACAATGCTTCCAGTGGAAAATTCATATGCAGCATCCCAGGTATTTACTACTTCACTTATGATATCACTTTGGCCAACAAACATTTGGCCATTGGTTTGGTCCACAACGGGCAGTACCGGATCAAGACTTTTGATGCCAACACTGGGAACCACGATGTTGCCTCTGGATCAACCATTCTCTCTCTGAAGCAAGAGGATGAGGTGTGGCTGCAGATCTTTTACTCTGAACAAAACGGGCTCTTTTATGATCCCTACTGGACAGACAGCTTATTTACTGGCTTTCTGATCTACCCTGACCAAGATTATCTCAATGAAATATAGAGTGAGAAACAAATAAGAAATGGATGCAACTTCAGTCCAGCAAAGTGTAGCCTGCACGTGGACATGTGTGATATTATCTCATCATTTTACTTTTTTGACACTAACAGCCCATATTGGCAATACAGATATTTACTTGATATCACCAACTAGTTCCATGAAGTATATCAGGATGTTTAGGACCTACCTTTAAGTGACCTCATGACTCTGTAAACCTGGAAGCCAGCCGCTATGTTTTCCTACTGTTCAAACATGCCACAGACATGTAACTCAAATACTGGTGCAGAATGTTTTGATTTTATATTACTGTAATGCATAGAGACCGAAAACCATTTCCTGAAAACTGAGCTTATAAGCACCATTGATGTTGGAGATTGTATCAGTGCCCCTCCTTCTCCCACCCTCAATAATAATAATAATAAAACTTACTACACTTCACCAGCTACTTACAAGTCAGGAAATTATCAGCTGCCGTTACAAAAGTACCAGCAACCCTCAGCCTCATCAAAGCAGTACTAATAAGCAACGGCATCCGGTTTAAATGGGACACAAAGAAAAGAGCTCATTTAAGGCTAAAGGTAAAACTCCTGCTAAGACACACACCGTCGAATCGAGCTCTGCTGGTTTGCTCAGAGTTCAGCCACAACAAAGCAGTGCTGGAGTCTTGCATCTGCTTTCTGACAAGTGTCAAAAAGCTGTGACCAGAACCTGACATTGGCTGTGCAAGCCCAATACCTGCCAGCCTCTGGTTCATGGTGGAGGGCAACGCTGCAGATAAGACTCAGTTTTTAGAGAGAGAGAACGTGAACCTTCACTCCAGAAACAGGTGCATCAAATCCCACTCCTCCATCCCTGTCAGCTTTTGCTGAAAGGAAATTCTCATGGTGCTGCTGAGGTGCTCCTCACAGGCTTAATGCTGCATACAGACTCTGTCTTAATGACGCGCTTTGCTTTTTTAATTTTGTATGTCAAATGTTACAGATGAGCGATCTTAACATAGTGGTTCTAAACTGTATAAAAAAAGAAAAACAAGGCAGAAAAGGCCAGAGGTGAGCTTTTTGGTCTTGCTATGATGAGCTTTGCATTTTTCCCTATCCCAACCAGCAGCCGTACAGGGATATGCTCCCAAATGGAGCATCATTATCACATCTCCAGCTGTATGGCTACTCAGCCACTTGCCTTGCCCCAGTGTATGCAGCTGCTCACTACCAGAAGTCAGCCTGCAGTCAAAGGGAAGGAATTTTCCTCAATATCTGACACATTTTCTTGGTTCCCACAATCATATTTCTTGTCTCCCCTACTGCAACAAACACTTGTATCAACTTCCAGTTCTTCTCATTTGCACATTTAGACATTGAGGAGATAGCACAGAAGAACAAATTAATATATATATATATATATATTAACCTTATTTCTACAAGTCATTGTATTTGCATGATTTTGTGAACAACTTTAAATGTGTTATATCTTATGAAAATCTTTTCAAATACTTTTTTTTTTTTTTTAATAAAGCTGAACAGAACTACCACTGCAACATCCTTAATGCTTATTAAGCAGTTTTCCTGAAATTATTTCAAAACTGTTACAGATTCCACAGACGCTGCCAGTTTCAGTGATGGATTTTGCAGGGCCAGATGCCACCAGTGTATTTCCTCCCTCCCAACCCTACAAGCCAGGGAACACACACACTTTTTTACTCTCTGTACAAGGCCTTCTACAAGGTGGAACAGGGTCTGTACATTCCTGAGCAGCTGCTCAGCCTACTGGCAGAAGTCCTTTCCCAGCAGTTGCTGTGCAAATAATGTACTTTCCTTTGCAATGCCCTCATTTAGTATGTCCTGGCCTGCATTTTGCAGGCAGCAACAGTTCAAGCATTGCCTTTCTCTCTCAGTGCCCAGCCCTGCATTTCCACCAACAGCCCCAGGGGGTGGCGGGACTGCTGCCAAAACAGAGAGATCTTGTTGCCCTCAATTTCTCCCATCAACCATCCGCAGCGTGATTTTCATTTTGGTTTTCCAACAGGTTACCGCTGAACCCAGTTGGTACAAGGCAGGTGCCAGAGCTGGGAGGGGATGGCAGAGAACCACAGGGAATAAGACTGAGGTTTGGAAGCAGCAGTCAACAATGAGCGCAGCTGCACTGCCAACCAGCTTCTAGGGCTGGACTCCTCGTTGTCCCGTTACCTCAGCAGCCACAGCAGGGAGCATATCCCCACTGTCAGTCCTCTCAGGGCCCACTACCTGGTTTCCCCAGATGAGAAGCCATGGGAGTTATTAGCTCTCTGGCAAAGCATCGTTTTTGATCTAGTGAAAAGGAAAACATGCAAATGCATCCAGGTTCAGAAGATCAAAATGCAAGTTATAAAGAAACCCCCTGCTAAGCACTCACTAGCACAGAGCTTGCTTGCTTTCCGGGGCTATCAGGCCTTCCCTGCTGACCTGGAGCTCTGGCTCCAACAAACCAACATCCACCCCTGGGAGCTGCCCCGGGTCACAGTGCTGCTTCTGTGCAGCACAGCTCAGCCCCAGCTCTGTGGATCTGCTGCCATCACAGACTCAGAAGAGAAAGCTCAAACCAATAAAACACAGCAGGCAGAAGGGAGAGGACTGTTTTCTTCCAATTACTTAACCTCCGATTGGGCTGCAGTCATTCAAAAGATATCATACATCAATTACGTCTGCAAAAGAGGCACAGTTGTTTGAAGTACACAGATTGCTCTGACAAAGATTTATCTCTTCTTAGCACGTTTTAAGATTAACCAAGGCAGCCTGCATGCTGACCAAGATGGCTCCGCTCAAACCTGCACAAGCATCTCCTCCAGCAGCTGTGGGCTGCCCTCCTGCTGTGTCCCCCAGGATAAGAGGGAGGGAAGGGCAGCAGTGCCGGGGTTATCTCAGGGCTGACCATGGGAACATTGAGTTTGGGGTGTTTATTCCTCTCTTCAAGAAACTGGCTCAGGCTTCAGAGCATTTCAGAAATGATGCATTCTGGCTTACTCTCGCATCTTCAGGCTGCAGTTCAGTTTGCAGTTCCATTTTTCTCCAGCCAAGCAGCTATTCATTCGGTTTTTATGTGTACTTATTTTTTTGTTGTTGTTGGTTGTTTTTTTTTTGTTGTTGTTATTGTTTTTGTTTTTAATGAAAAATGAGATTTGCATAAGATTTTTTTCCAGGAATATGGAGTTTCTGGAATAACACCAAGTAAAGAACTCTGGCTTTCACAGCCAAGCTGTCACAAGAGAGAACTGCTCCCACGCAGGCTCCTCACCCAGCCCAGGCAGCTCCCGGCACCTCCATTGCTGTGGGAGCAGAGCTGGGAATGTCTTGGCCAGGCAAACGTGTGGGCAGATGCTATCAGGAAGGAGGGAGGAATGTCCTGGCTGAGGCAGGATGATGTGTGAGGGCAGTGGATGCAAACAAGACCTGTTACACTGCAGCAGCCTTCTCCACTGTGAGCACCAGAGCTGCCCTTGGCTGCTTTGTGCACCAAGTTTTGTCACAAGCAGGCCCTCTATGCGCTCAGCATGCCAGGTGAAGACAGGGAGTGCAACACCTGCCCTCAGTGATCAGTTAGCAATGACGGCTCAGCTGCTTCATCTCGTGGTTCATTAGAAGCCAGCACAGACGCAGCTGTGAAAACACAGACACAGGTCTTCTCCATGGGGGCAAAGGGTTTCATTACCACATGAACTCCTCTCTGCCACCACAGGGCTTTCTCCCTCCCACCTTCATCCCCAAACCGTGCAGTTCACTCCAGCTGAGCAGAGCCTTCCAGTCTCCATCACATCTTCCCTTAGGGAGGCCAAGGAAGGCCCAGGAGAACCTGCCCCATGTAGCTGTGTACCATTTACCTGTGCTGTGCACTGCTCTTCTGCCAGGGGATGTTTCTGCCTTTAAAGCAACTCAGGCCCCACAGCAGAAGCTGCTATGTGCCCTCTGGATGACACAGACCTGTGATTGCAGCCCCACAAATCCCCAGCCCCTCACCCCCCAGCTCCTGGTGCAGCACCCCTGCCCAGCACAGGGACACAGAGGCTGGCCTTGCCCTCACATGTAGCACCAGGGATTTAACTGCAGGGAAAATAATAGCAGGGCTGTCACCCAAGAGCTGCTCTAGTACTGCTATAACTCCATAGTTACCTCAGCTCGAGGCATTTCCAGTGAGCATGTGCTGGAAAGGCTGCAATCCCAGGTGCTTGACAGGCAGGTCAGGAAGAGGAAGACTCCTACAAAGGAGGGCACCTTCACAGGGTTTCCAATTTCCACATAAGCTGGTGGCTAAAAGGAGGAATGAGGAATGAACATGCTTCAGCTATAACATGTTCAAAGGGAGGCCAGGCTGAGCATCAGTTCTTGGGCACAGAATTGAGGTACACGAGGCTGCTGGGAAGCAGAGAGCCCCAGCATTTACTGCAGCCAGTGCTGTGCCCCCAGTCACAGATCTCTTTTTTTGAGTGTTCTGAGGTGAGGGGACAGGACAGCCCCTCTGCAAGTCCCACCGCAGCAGTGAACGCTGCTGAAGGAAGAAGCCCTGCTTACTAGCCTCTTGCTGCTCCTAGCTCTGCTTTCTTTTGTTTGCTTTGTGCTTGCTTCAGATCCCCTACGGAATGCTATAACTTATAGAAAGTTAGCCTGACAAAAAGACTAGGTTTAATGAGATGGGTCATGTAGTGAAAAATGCATGCTGAGTGATAGAGTTACAAAGGAGCAGGGCGAAGAAGGGAGGTAGGAAAACACAGATAGATACAGAGAACCAGAAAGAAGGAAAATCAATTCTTTCAGTAGAAGAAAACCACCACGCTCATTTGAGTGAAAGCACTCAAACTGGCTGAAATTATCACTTAAACTGTTGCTGATACAGTCTGGCTTTGGGATTTTGGTGAAATGTGGAGCACCTGAGTGGCATCAACCTGGGCTGCCCACCTGGGGAAGGAAGAGCCCTGTGGGGCTACATGGGCAGGCACCAGTGATCCCTTCTTGCACTCGCCCCTTGCTGAGCACCAGAGCAGCTCTCCTTTGCCTCTGGCAGCAGGTGGGAGTGGGCAGCTGGAGCTGCAGAGCACAGCACAGCCATGGGCTCTGTGTTGTGCATGGGACTTGATTAAGAAGCCCGTTCTTTTCCACCAAGAGCACTCCAGCTCCTTGCTGACTGATGCAGGTGCAGCCTCTGCAATGCAGCATTTCCACCGTGTTCTTTCCCAGCTGAAGCCCTCTGTGCCAGCAGGTGAAATACAGGTTGCCTGAGCCCTGTCTGTCAGACTGAAGGCTTGTACCTTAGCTACTGTTGGGTAACTTTGTTCATTTTGAATGCGTTTTATTGCTATAGCATCCAGAACGGTGGGGTAGTGGGAAAGCTGTTGATTTGCTCAATTTAAACTGATTCTTAAAGAAAACCCCCATAATGCTGATGATGTCACTGACTTGAAACTAGGCTTACATCATTTAAGTCTCAGTGGCTGTACCTGTGCTTTACCCAGCCATGCCTTATTCATAATGATAGATTCGCATAAAGTTTCTCTAAATGAATGTAAACTCTCAGTAAGTCTATTTACTTTGGGAATTCTCCTGGATTTTTTTTTTTTTTTCTTTTCTTTTTCAGACTACTTGCTAAACCACTTGCAAGTTTAATACACACGGTTCTGATGTGGCTGAAGCCTGTGTTTTAACCTCGGCTGTACCCATTACATCAGAACGTGCTCCTGTCCTGAATGGTCCCGTTCAGATGGAAAAGTTATACTGTAACTGGGCTCAATTTTTTAGAACAATGTTATTCAACAGTATGAAAGTTGATAATAGTGTTGAGATAACATAGAGGTAAAAAAAAAAAAAACAAAAACCCAAAACCTAATAGCAAATGAATACATCGCTGTCTGAATCACATGGGTTATTTGTAAGGAAAAGCTCAGGCTGCTGTTCAACATGTTTTTAAGTATGTATTCAATTTTAAATGAAAAGAGGAAAAAAAAAGTTGTTTCGTTGCTTAAATTAGGGCACTCAAGTACTTTGTTTAAGGGATAGTGGCGTAATTAGATGTACTTGAAAGAAAATAGGGGAAAATTGTTTCTGACGGACACTTGGTGGCAGCTTTTATCTGCGGGTTTAATGGCCGCTGCTACTTAACTTCATTGCTTGGCTTTTACAGCAGGGCCAAGGCAGAAAGCTGATCATAAACAACCGGGGACGTTTTCACCGGAATAACCGCTCAGCATCTTTCTTTGCTGATCATGAAAGCATTTTCCCAGGAACGCTGAAATCAACAAAGATATTAACTTTGATGGAAGCATGCAGGTCTTCTGTGTTTCTTTCTTTTTGGAAACCGATGAAGAAAACATTTCATGAGGGTTTTTTTTTTGGTTTGTTTTGCAAAGTCCTGTGTAGAATGACTGACAGACAAAACTCCCAAAAAAGAATGCTGAAACTGGGGTCTAATTCCCGAGAAGGGAAAGCTGTTGCTAGGCCTGGGGAACTCGCCTGGGGCAGTTTCATCCTGAACAGACCAACGGTGAGGTTTTGGTACAGAACAGGCTGTACGGCGATCTTCTTTTTGGCTAGTTGGAACTGCTAAAACAGAGCTGGGAAACGCTTGGTGGGGGATTTCATCCTGAAAAGCCCATCGGACATAAATATCTCGCTCAGAGGTCTGGGAACGAAGCTGCGTGGCGCCTGGCAGTTTCCTGGGCTCTTTCAGCATCGAGCTGGGATGTGGCAATGGGTCCCGCGGCAAAGCGGTGACATCTGGGCTGAAACCGTAGCCAGGTCACCGCCGCTTACGCGTCCCCATAACTGAAGGTGAGGAAGCACAGAACGAGGACAAAGCCCGCGCCTCCCGCTCACACTTGAGGACGGCCGCTGAGCGCTCGGCGCCGCCAGCACGAGGAGCGGCTCTGCCCGCACGGAGCCGGCAGCCACGTGCCGTCGGTGCCGCGCCTGCAGGGCGGGGGATCCGCTCCCCCCGCGGGGCCCCAGGAGCGCGCAGGTGCCGCTGCCGGCGGCGCGGAGGGGTCGGCGGTGTCCCGCCGGGGCGGGCAGCTGTTAATTACAGCCCATTAACCCCAGAGCCGCGCCGGCGGACGGGCGGCGGTCCTCCCGCTGTCTTCTTTTTCCCCTCCTCTCCCCTCTCGGCCGCGGGGCTTCCGCCAGCCCGAGCCGTGCGTGCCGCCGGGCCCGGCGCCGGCTGCGTGAAGGGGGGCGGCCGCAGCGGTCAGCGCGGGGGGGGGTCGGTGCCAGCGGGAGGTGCGGGGGCCGGCGGAAGCGACTCGTCCGCTCTGTTCTCCGTCCCGGTGGTGCCCCGTCCGCCTGCCAGAGCTTTGTCTGGATGGGAAGAAAAAGGATGGAGGAGCAGTGGTGGAGAGGGGAGCTGGCGGCAGACATCCATCAGACCCTGAGGACGAAGGTTTGCTCCCGCTTTGTTCCTTTCCGTCGGCTTTGCTCCCCGTTGTGCCCCTCCCCAGGAGAAGGGCTGTGCTGCGGTGACCGCGCTGTGCCTTCAGCGGGGCTGCCGGGCGCTGCTCCGATCGAAACTTGTTCAAAGTCAGCCCTGAGCGAACGGCAGCCCGGAGATACCTGCAGCTCCTCGGTAGCTGTGACTCTGTAACTTAGCCGGGGTGGGGACTTGTTCTATTAGACGCTGGGAGGATGCGGGTGTTGTCCTGTGAAAGAAAAGTGAGCATATTGCAGGATCTGGAGAAACGGCTTTGCTTCTCCGCGCTAAGATTTGGGACGTCGTGCCCGGGCGGGCTGTAGGATAGCGGGCATGTGCACAAATGGGCATGCAATGCTATTTCTAGAAGTTCACTGTCATTTACACGTTGATTGGAAAGCCAACTGTACGTCTTACAATAGGCAAATCAGTCAGGCACTGCTTTTAAGACTTAGTGTACATTTACTGAAGGCAGGTAAAACTAAAGCTGCTGTTTCTTCAGGTAGATTTCCAACTCGAAGTAAACCCTAAACACAGGTGGTTGGGTAGCACGGGAGCCAGTCCACAGCACGTAGTGACTGCCTGTGTGTAACACAGCTTGACGTTAGCAAAGCTACAGCTAATGAAGTTACCCTTTGGACGTTCCTTACTGCCACTGAGCAATAAATGGTGTCAGGTGATGCAGCGTTCCCAGGTTCTGAGTGGGCCAGGCCCCTTCTGTGGGGTGGGAGGAATGGCTGGCATCCATTGTTGGGGTGCGAAGGGGCCGGCGGTAACTTTTTGATGTGTTTGTTTGTTAATTCAGTGTATCTGCTGCCTTTTAATCAACCGTTTCATTCTTCAGACTTCTTTCCAGATGCACCTTGCTACTCTAGGTTCCTAGAACCTCTCCTTTGTTTATGGATGTAGGCTGGCTGAGATGATGTAAAGAAGCCTCAAAGAGGGAGAAGGGTCTCTGGGCTACACTTCCTCTGCTCTGAGGAAGGTTTAGGGCACTTTGTGTACTAATTCTGCCCACCTTACAAGGATGACTCAAAGGAAGTACTAGATGAGAATCCAGAGTGCCGCTGTAGCAAGAAAAAATAATTGCAGGTGGTAAGACTAATGTTTGGTTCACTCTCTGTGTTCTTCTTCAAGTAATATCCTGCAGAAACTACTCTGAAGTGTATTGCTGAGTTGTTTTTTAGTGCTTTTCTCAATGTCAGAAGCACCAGGACTTTAAGGAAAGTGTGTCACAAATCTCCTCAGAAGGACCACACAACAAAGTTTGGGAAGATGAGCATTGACAGCTTTGTGAGCATGGGCTGAGGATGCCTGTGGCAAACGCGTAGAGAAAATAAGCTTTGTAACTGTGTCTCCACTTGAGCTGTTGTGTGTCAGTGCACTGTTAGTGCATTGCCTTGCTGATACTGGGGTGCGAAGAATTAGTGCAGTGGTACCTTCAGCCCGAGTGACCTCCCTGCTTTAAGGTGCCTTCGGAAGAGTCTTAGTGTGGGCTGGTCCGTGTCTTGGGTCAGAAGAAACAGGTCTTAGTTGGAGCATGCGAGTGTGAGAGGAAAGTTACTTAATAATTGTCAAAGAGGTTGAAATGTAGGCTGCAGGCTGTCCTGCTTCTTTGCAGTATATATTTAAGTCTGTTTAAGGTGAGGAATGAAAGGTAATGCAGCTCTTCCTAGAACACTAGAAGCGATTGAAATGCAAATTGAAACAACCAAGTTTTTATGCTAACTGCAAGAAGTGTAATTCCCACCCCCTTGCTTGGAAGTTGTTGTTAATCTCTTTAGAAGTTGGCTGCTTAGTGACAGATGTTGTGCACTGTTCTGATGGATGCGTTCTGCATGAGAGCAGATGCTGAATGTGTGGGCTATACCTGGCTTCTCATTCTGACAGCTGAAAAATGGTGCTCCCCAAAGGCTCTGTCTCAACGTGGAGGAAACCAGTAACCCCTGAATTGTCCAACCAGCAGCACCTTTACAAAGCTCTCTTCTTTAGTAGCTCGGAATGCTCAGTAAGTGTGGAAAGCAGAGTAACAAGTCAGTGTGTAGTGGTTTGTTTTTGGTGTTTGAGAAAATCCTGTACTTCAGAAAGCAGTGTGAATGTCCCAGAAAATGGAGGGATGTCTGGCTGCTGTTCCTCTCCTGTTGCTGTGCTGTGTTGGGCTGTTTCCTCACAGGATATGTTCATTTCCTGCAATTAATGACAATAACTGGATCCGTTCACATTTCCCTTTTTATTCATCTCTTACGTGGCTTTTGAGAGCAGGGCCAAATTTTGCAGGACCTTTTTTATGTTTTTAAAAGGTTAATATTGTAACTTGATCTCCTTAAAGGCGGTCCAAATGTCTGTAAGTAACTCCTGACTGACAGGTGAGGAGCGCCCATCTTCTTCCTGCTGAAAGCAAACAGTCCTTTAAGTGGTAAATACGTCTGAGTGAGTTCCTCTAGGTGCATGACATCGGGTCATGATGTAACAGGCACTGTTTTGTCTTCCAGCCAGTGAATCCACTCATGTCCTTGTTAAAAACTTGCGATCCCTTCAACACGAAACGAGCATTGATGGAACTGTGATGAGCTCAGATCCACCTGGCACTGCCTGAAGGTGGGATTGGCACAGACCCGATGGGCTGTGCTGCAGAAGAGGGAAGGCAATAGGGCACTGTGCAGGTGGTGCTTCTGGTGTGGGGCTCGTTTTCTTTTTTTAATGAACTCCGGATGAGAACTTCAGAGGACCGAGATACCTGAAGCATTCAAAAGGGTTTGGACTCTCACTCCAGTTAATCAAGAGGATAAAGCATTAACCTTTCATTCTGATGAGCTTTTCCACTTTGAATCAGCTGTAAGAAAGGAAGGTGTTAGAAAGCATTGCAGTTTACTAATATCAGGCTTTTCCCAAAACTGGCAGTCCAGCAACAAAAGCATAATCTGTTCACTTCAAAAGCTAGATTATTTTTTTTAAACCAGTAACAATAGCATTACTGGCCTCTAGCTGTAACTTGCTTATGTTGTGGATGGCAGCATATGCGTGGAGCTGAAAGGAACAGGTGTTCTGGTAAAGTACATGGTTATTCATGACCTTTTTCTTTCTTTGCTTCCTTCCTTCAAGTTGGAATTTTGGTTTTCACACTTCTTTCTCTGATCCTTCACAGATCAGTTGCTGAATTCTGAATGCTTTGAATTGTGTAAAAAGGACTTAATGAAATGTTTGATGATACACCACAGTGAAACACAGGAAGTGATAAATTTTTCAAGCACAGCAGCAGTCTGGTTTTCCCTCAAATTTCAAAAATTTCAGACTGTTGTAAGGATGCTGAAGGGCAGAATGAGATCAAAATGATTTTAAGCACAGTCGAAATATGGTCCTGGTCTGATGCTTTTTTTTTTTTTTTATGGCATCTTAGTAGTTTGGCTGAATCTTAAGTGTCTGCATACTGCAGATCACACTGAATCTTCTACTGACCTTAATCACTGTAACTTTGAACAGGTATAAAGTTTGTTCTGTGTTACAGGACAGCATGGCTCGTGTTTGCCCAGACAAAGCAAGCTTGGCTGTTTTGGAGGCATTTACCGTGCGTTTTTGCTGTGAGAGGAAATGCATCCTGCTGGCTATACCTGAAGAACACTGCACTGTCACTTATTTTTGCCTTCCTCTGAGCCTGCATGGCTGCAGAGAGTCAGGGGATGCTGCATGGTTCACTTATGTGAGAACAGAGCCAGGCTGAAGACGTGGTAGAAAAGCAGACTCAGTTAACATCTTTATGAATGTCAGAACCTGAGGAATGTTTGTCACAGGCTCATTTTTCCTTTGTCAAGGAGCCTGTGAGTTGATGAATTTCACTTTCGTTCTGAGAACTGATCATTATTAGTAGGTGTTATTACTGTCACATCACATCACTGCTAACTTTTAAGTTTTCTGCTGTTTGTCAGCTTATTACTGGCTTTAAATCTGGGGAGGAGGAGTTGTGCTGGAAGGAAACGGGATGCAACTTCTTGCTGTGTTGAACACCCAAGCACTGTGGTGTAGTGCTCTGACCACACTGAGTGTGGCATGGAGCAACTGCTGTAGGGGAGCTGGAGGACATCACTGCGCTCCATTTCCTTCCTCTCCTCTTCAGCTGTGGTTGGCTAGTCCAGCTCAAGAGGCCTAAACTTCATGAGGTTTACTTACTCTGCTTCTGTGAAGTCTTGTTGCTCAGCATCTCCTCCAGCGTGGCTCAGAAGGGTTTGCTCAGCCTGACTGTGAAGCCAGCTGACCCCTAGGTGAAGTCTGGTTCTTTGGGTCAATGAGCGGTGGAGGAATCCGTCAGGTTACCTCCTGGGAGCTGCCTGAGCCTGGCTGCCCTTCAGCTCTGACTGCTGAAGATTTGTCAACTTTAGCACCACTTGAACATGTTTACACTGATTCCTTTCTTTTAGAAGGTCAGGTCTTGGAGCTGATAGGAGCCAGCTTATAATTGCCTTTGCCCTTAAAGCTGCTTCTCTTTCAGCCCACGCACAACCTCACTCTTGCAAGCCTTACTTATCTCAAAACGTGATAAGTGGCAGTCATCCTAAATGCTGTGTTCTGCCTGCCTGGAGGCTTTTAGCTGAGAGACACTGACCAATAACTGTTGAAGGAGCTCAGTCAGTCAGCCCTGAGCCACATGAGAGCCTATGCTGCCATGTTCAGTGTTTCGGTGCATTGGCTGCCAGCAGTTACAGCCAGGTGGCAGAGGGAGATAGGAGAGAGCAGGTTAAGGTAAGCAGCAGCAGCATCCGAAAGGACCAGCAGACAGCAGAGCTCCTAGCTTCTTCTCTATTGCTTTACTGGAGATAGAGGAAAATTCTAAGCATTGGAAATTATTCTATTCTTGCTCCCTGAAAGATTTTTTTTTTTCTTCTAAGACTTACAGCTGCTGATTGTGCACCGGTATCCCTAAAGTGACAAAGGCACTTTTAGTATTCAAAGAAGTAATTTTTTTATTGGAAAACTGGTGCTAAATAAGGCTGTGAGGGGAGGTTGATGGAAAGGAATGCATATCAATAGCCATGTTTATAGGGCTTCTCACTTTGTGTAGGAGTTACATGCTTGCCAACTGTAACTCTGCTCCATGCAGGAAGTCTCATATTAAATAGTATGCTGAGATTTGATGTATCTAGAGAGCATAATTTTGCTGGGAGATCTAGCTGTTTCAACAGCCAGAAACATTTCAAAAAATAAAACTTGACGTTCCTATTAGTCATCAGAAGAAAAAATGTTTCAGAGATTGAATTTCCACCTGATCTTATCATAGCTTGGATTTTGTATGGACGCTTAACACGAATGCAGTTCTTCTTACTGGGAAATAATTTCTCCCAGAATGCTGAAGTTGTGTGTTAAGAGTGTGCTATGAATTCTTGCTCTCAACCTGTGTGCTATTGAATTCCTCGTACGTAAGGTGGTTGTGGTGGTGGGCATTATGGGGTGCTGTTGGGCATAAAACAACGTGTGGGTCGTGTTATATTGCCTCCCTTCTTTTTAAGAAGGGGAATTTTTTTATAATCCCCCAGTGAAGGCTGCCCCAGGTTTCAAAGGGTTTCTTGCTTGTCTGCAGCATGTGTCTGTTCAGCCCAGGAAAAGAAAAAAAAAAGGGCTGGTAAGCAATCATCTGTAACAGCACCCAGCTTGCTGTCTTTGTGAGCTGCTTCTTGGTAACAAGCCTCTCTGGTTTCCAGTCATGTGCGCCCCTCTGAGCCTGACTGTGCAGCTATTTTCTCCTGGCAAGTTGAACCTCCTCACGGAATGCTTCCTCCAGGGAGATGGGAGAGCGTGGGCAGGCACTGCTCCAGCTGTGCAGGGAGGTGCCCTTCTGCAAGCAGCACAGCAGCGTGGATGCTTCCTCTGGTCTCATCTGTTCAGCTCCGCGTTTGTTCTGTAGAATTACTGCTCTGTGCACTACTGTGTGTTCTGCTATAAGGCACGTTTATCTCGCAGTGCTGTGCAGCTTCTAATTCATTTTCAAGTGCATGCAGTACAGAAATGGACTAGTGGAATCTGAATTATCCCTCCCTCACATAGTGGCTACAAATCTGTATTAAACATTTTCAGGATAGGTAGACCAAAAACTTCAATAATTCTGCCTTTAAAACTAATATTTCTATATCACATATGAAACACTTTGCAAGTTCAGTGGTTAGTTTTTATACTGCTGAAATACATCAGCATGAAAAAATGCTTAAATTTGCCGTAATTGTAAGTCTCTCATTATTTTTCTTGTTCATGTCTACTTATTGCAGCTGTGCACAATGGCTTTTCTTTTTTTAATATTAGAAATTCTTCATGCTACAGACCTGTGGGGTGCTTGTTGGTTGGATGGTTTTTGGTATAGGATGTAGTGAGGTGGAAGAGGTGCTATCAGAAATTTATCTTGCTGTTCTAGCCTACGAAACGGTACTTAATAGCCCAGTTTAGGTGAAGAAAATAATTAAAGTCCTTAAGGAACAGCTCTCATGGCCAAGAAGTTTGGTGTTCTGTAGAAAGTAATAACAAGCTGTTCCTGGGTGAAACTACATGTTTAATGCTTGTAGGGTAAGTGCACTGTGACCGAGGTACTAGAAGTTAATTGGCTGCCAAACATGCATTAATTCAGCCCTGATTTCCATCACAGTGCTGTTTTTGCTACATGTTTTCCTTAGCCGCTGAAGGATGTTAGGGATTCCTGATGGTTTGGGATGTTTCAGTGCTTCTTTCCTCCTTACCCCCCTCTTTCTCCCCTCCCTGTAGGAATGTAACCTGCCTCTGTATAAGGCCCATTCACCACAGATTGGGATGCGCCGTTACTTCATTGATCTCTTGACCGTCCTCAGCAACCGTTGCAATCTCTGCCCTACAGCCCGGCACCTCGCTATCTACTTACTGGACCTCTTCATGGATCGCTATGATATCACTATCAAGCAGCTGTATGTCACTTCGTTTGCCTGTCTTCTCTTAGCAAGTAAGTTGGCTCCTATTTACTGTGGCTTTTCTTCCCTCCTCTGAGCAGGTTGTTCTTCTTGCATGTCTTAACACAGAAAACTGCACAGGATAACCACTTCCAATTGTTTTCTTTAAATGTTTAGAAGTAGCTTTAGGGGATGTGGTTTAGTGGGGAATATTGGTGGTAGGTGGGTGGTTAGCCTGGATGACCTTGGAGGTCTTTTCCAACTTCAATGATTCTATGATGTACTTAGGGTAAAGCCCAATGAAGTCCACAGAAGAACTAAAGTAGTCTTAAATTCTGCTTGGCTGTACAGCTTGTTCTGCACATTCGTATGATGGTGTTACTGTGCAGAGGAAGTTTAGGTATCTGAAGGTGAAAAGGGACAATGAAGATAAAGGAGTAATGGAAGACTGGGGGAGTTTAGTTCTAAAGTATGATTAGCAGCCTGGAGAGCTGTCCTTGGATCTGTGCCTCTGTTATGATCACTGGGCATAATCAGTTCCTTGCAAATCAGAGTTCTCTTGTACAAGGACCGAAGGAAAATTGCATCTGAAGGCACTTAGTAGGTATGTTGATGGTGGTGGAATGCATATTGCCTGTTCTGGGCTCCTAGTCGTTACCATGCAACTCTGAAGTTTTGGTGTTGGCATCCATTTGGTAAATGATCTTGAATGACTGTGGTTAGTACTTTCTTGAAATCTCTGCAGGCAGTGATGTGCAGGTGGAAGAAAGTGAGGCTGGTGCCTCAAGGAATTGCAGACTCGCAGACTCTGTTTCTAGGTTACAAAGAAATTATCCTGCCATATGGGAGCCAGGCAGAGCAGCATGCTATTGTTGTAGGCAACAAAAGTTATGCAAACTGCAGCATCAGTGGCTGGAAACTGCTAGGCAGTCATACTGGTTAAGGTTTAAAAAAAAAAAAAAAAAAGAGTGAGCAAGCCCAGAAGGATTTGTTGAGGAAAGAATGTGATATTATGTGTTATTGCTCAGGATACAAGTTTGCTAACGCTTTTCTTTAATGGGGAATGCCCTGAAGAGCTTGATCTGCAACGATAATGGTGATAATGAACTGTACTTTACTATAATACTGTATTGTTTATTTAAGCACTGGTGTTGTTGACTCTAGAAAAAGATAATTCATTATATGGGTAGGTGCTTGCTTGTGTTGCAGACAAGTCAGAGTTAAAATCAGAGGAAAGAAGAATTGAGATAGTTTCTGTAGGTGCAGTTTTATTGCAGACTAAGTGACACTTAGTCTGGAAGAGCTGTTGAAGTTCTGCTTGCCTGAACCTTTGATGAGCTCCTTCAGACTAGAAAATTGGCAGAAAACAATCCCAGCTGAGGTGTTTTCTTTCTGTTTCCTATACTTTTTTTTTGAACACTCCTTTTTTGTATGCATAACCTTGTAACTGCACGATGCCTCACAGCAGTGCTGCTTTATTCTCCAGGTACATGGTTGAAAGTAGCCATGAAGAATAGAGAACAGGATTTTCTTTAAACCTGATCCTTTTGAGTATTCTCCTCTCCCATTAATCCCTGCCATAAAATTGGTGCTTCAGCAGTTCTTTTTAGTGACGTGTTTTGAATTTACAGGAAAGATTTATAGATATAACTTATGTTTGCACTGTTGTGTGCAGGATGGCAGTGGTACCTCAAACTCATCTGAGTTGTCAGAATTGGTATAATGGTAAGATCTTGGGTAGAGCTTTCCTGTATGAGACTGGGAGGGCTGCACAACTGGCTTATGTAGCATCTAGGATTTAAAATGAAACAAAGCTGTTCTTAAGTAAGGGGCCAAAGTCAAATGCAACTTTAGATCGCCTCTCAGAAACTGTGAAGGAAAAGGAAGTTGACAAACCACCCTATGACAACATTGGAGGGAAAGAGGAAAATGTTTCATAATTTTTTTTTTAAAGGCAGTTTGATTCAAGGATCAAGTCCAAGCCTAGCGAGCTAATGAATATGAGAATCTTTCTAAACCTGACACTAGCTCAGTGCAGCATTCATATATCCTGTTATGGAATCATTCTGTGTAAGAAAGGGGAAAAAACCTGTAATTGTAAAGCTAGCTTTCCTACCAACGTGTAGAAACAAAATGCTAAAAATTGAAGCAAAGCAGCTTTGCACAAAATGAATACTTAAACACTTTGTGTAGATAAGGTTTTAAATCTGGAGACTTGAGAGTGTAATAAGCTCTGTTTTTCTTTACTTGAGCCATGCTAATGTTCAGTAAGGACCTTCTGCTTTGGTACGCGTAGCTTGAAATGGTGAAAGTCAAGTTGGGGAAACCATTTTATGCCACATGGGAATTCCTGGATTTAGTTTATTTTCAAAACGATACGAAGTAGAATAAATGGTATACTATAGTCACCTGATATTTCTCATTATAACAAAGAATATAACTGTTTTTTTTTTGCCTTTCACTGCAAATGCAATAATTAGGACTTCCCACAAATAATTAGGAAGTTGCCTACTTGTTCAGCAAAGGATTGCAGCAGAAATACTCTTCAGACTGTAGCAAGACACTTGTACTTATTAAAATATATATTATAACTTTTGAGAGCAAACAGTCATCTTCATAAAAGTAATATTCAGTTCTTTGAAATACCAGTGCTTACCTCGCTCAAGGTGAACACTGAATGTTTATCAAAAGATAATTCTGCACGATAAACACCGTTTGAGAAATTCTGCTTTTTCTTTCTGATTGTTTCCTTAGAGAAAAGCAGGAGGTTAATGGCAGTGTGCAGACCACAAACAAGGGGAGATGTAGTGAGAGGTGACATTTCCGATGTAAGTGTGGGGGTGGTGGGTTTTCTTTCTTTTGCTGGGGGGCATTGAGGACAGTTGTATAAGTTCAGAGAAATTGTTGTCAACTTTTTATTTAGCTTTCAGGTTTGCTTCTCTGATCTGAAGAATCTCAAACTTTTTTTTTCTTTTTTTTCCCCCACCAACTTTGTCATCCGTCTCTGAGCATGCAACAGCAGTGTTCTCGTGTCACAGATTACAGCTGTCTTTTAGTTAGCTGGAGCTGATTTCTCTTGCTGTGTTCTAGAAAAGCATTTTAACTGGCTCATCAGTTTCCCCATCTAGGAAACTGGATGGTGACAGTGCTTCCTACTACAGTAATAATTGCAAAAAGAGAGAGAGTGGGAAGATGCTCTTCCAAACAGATTGTGTTGGCAGCCAAATCATGTCCAGCCTGGACTTGCTGAGTTGAGAGGAACGTGGTCGTGTGTCCCTGGAATCATCTCAGTGTTTTCTAGTTGGAATATGTATGTTTCTTCTGCAGGGTATGCACAGTGTGATAACTGGAGATGATCTCTGGAAATTCCTGCTGGGTACGTTAGCCCCCCCCAGAACAGCTATGAAATCTTTGAACTCTACTGTCATCAACAGTTATTTCCTCTGTATCAATTCTGAAAATGAATGGTAATTGTTCACGGTAATCTAAAGGTGAACGGAAACCCATCTGGGGAGGAGAGGAAATGTTACTGGAAAAACTGATGTCACGTTTTAATAAAATACACACAAACTAAGTTCTGTTACTTGTATACAGTAACTGTATTATATATTTCATATATGGCTCGGGTAAGCCCAAAGGTTGGGCACTCATGATCTAATGAGCAGGAGCAAAGTAGGTGAAGCCAGGCTGTTCTTGGTGGTGCCCAACAAAGAACAAGGGGCAATGGGCACAAAATGAAACATGGGAAGTTCCATATGAATGCGAGGAAAAACATCTTAACTTTGAGGGTGACAGCAGTGGAACGCACTGCCCAAAGAGGTTGTGGAGTCTTCTCTGGAGGTATTCAAAACCCAGTTAGACACTTCCCTGTGTAACCACTGTAGGGAGCCCTGCTTTAGCAGGGTTTGGACTAGGTGATCTCCAGAGGTCCCTTCAAACTCTGTGATTCTGTGAAGTCAAAAAAAAACTTTGCCCTTCTTTTGACACAGTACGTTTCTAACACTGCCGTGCTGATGATCTGCTCCCCAAACTATGGTCTGACTTCTTGAAATATCCAACGTCAAGTGAGAAAGATAGAAGGAACTGCAACTTACAGAAGTCATAATGACAGCTCCTTAGTTTCCTAGTTGTGCAGTGGTTTTTTTTCTTGCTGGTGTATTCCTTAAGCTTCTGTATCAGACTAACATCTCCTTTTGGAGTGGGAAAAAAAAGGAGGGGTTATCTTCTCTCTTCTCAAATCTTTTTTTTTTTTTTTTTAAACAGTTCTAAATTCAAGTTTACTGAGGAGATTTATGAACGTGTGTATACACAGACTCCTGAATTTTTAGGGCTTTTTGCTGGTAGAACAGGAAGTGAATGCCTACTTCTTATTGTGGATGTATTTTGTTTTTGACTTTTATTGTGCTCTTTTATGGTGGAGTGGCTGCTCTATAATGCTTTTAGTACATTTCATATCCATGATATCTGAACTAGTTCAAAGATAGCAAAGCAAGATGGAAACATTTGGTTGAATAGAATTGCTATCCTAAATGGATAGCAAGATCTGTTAATGTAACTTGCTGGCACGGTACTGTTTTTAATTATTTTTAGATTGACAAGAATGTTCTGAATATTATGCTAACATCTCCTCAGTTCATCTCTTTCTCAAAAAAAGAGGCAATGGGAGAGGCAAAGAAAAAAAAGAGGCTCCCTTGGAGGCAATGGGAAGATCACTGAAGCAAGAGTCTCTTGGGGGTTATGAGCATTTAAGAAGAAAAAGGGATAATAACTACAGTATACTTTAAAATAGCTGTACACCTAACCAAATGAGTTCGAATTTTTCAGCAAGGGTGTTATTTAAGCAGCACTGAAAAAAAGTTGTTATTACTGATTGTGATTGTTTGATTGATTCTTGCTACTTTTTGAGCAAGGCATGTTAGGTAGCTATGTCATTTTGGTTTGATAACTGCAAATTTAAAAAGGTCTCCTTAAGTTTGCTGCAAAGGAATGCTTTGTTACTAATAGGCAAAATCCTGGGGGTATCAGATCTGCCTTTTGTTTTCTGTATTATTTTTTTTGAGAACAGTAAAAATTGAGATCATGTTCTACTGTACAAAGTGACAGTACTTTCTAGCCATTCATGGAAAAACTGACTGCTCCTAGACACTACTGCTGCTTCAATAGCCTAGTAAATGCAGATTAGAAAAAGGTGTGGCTTTGCTCAGCTATTTGGACTCTAAAAATGCATGCTCTCAGCTAATCCTATGGGAATTATTTATGTTAATCACTTGGCTACGGTGTACTACTACTAGCTTTTCAGTGACCCTAGCTAATGAGGCCTTCCAAGACAGGATTGAACAAAGAGAAATTATGAAGCAGCAAGGGCAAAGGTGGTGGTGCCTGAGGGTTTTTAACGTCGTCTTTTTTGTAGCACATGCATTTAGCTTCCATACCCAAAGGATACTATTCATACCCAAAGGAGATCTTTTTTCCTTCAATATTAGATCTTTGCTTTTTTTTTTTTTTCCCCTGTACTGCCTTTTTTCTTCATGCTTTACTGTATGCCTTTCACCAGTCTGCTTTCAGTTAGTTTGGAAAAACTGGTCTTAAAATGACTAGGAGAAGAGAAATGACATGACTGAATAGTGATGGATTTTTTGGTTTGTTTGTTTGTTTTATTTTCTTTCAACTGCATTCAGTGTGTAGCTTGAGAAGAAGAGTCACTTTTCTGTCCTCTGTTCTAGTAACGTGGATGTAGGAACACATAATGGGAATGGGGAACCCAAGTTACCTTGATATGAAGGCCTCTTGAAATTTGTTGTGAAACACGAGAGTATGAACTAGCATAATTCTGTAATATAATAATGAAATCCACTCATTGCATACTTTAGGTTTTACTCATTTCTGCATTGCAGAGTCCAGTTCCTACCTCCAGTTCTACAGCAATCTATTAAATTGTTCATTAGTGTATTTATGAAAAGACAGAAGTGGCTTCTCCTGCTGTGGATTAAGATTTATATGGAGGTTGAGAGAAGACAAACTAATCCCATTTGCAGAAAAATGTTTGTAATGTTCTTGTTTAACTCGCTGAGAATAAACAGGAAAAGAGAGATAAGCCACCATTTAATATATTTTCAAACACCATTAGTCCTGGCTTATTGTGAATCCTTATCTCTGGCTAGCAAAGTAGTGAGGACCTTAAGATTTTGTGAGAGAATGGTGAGAAATGTGGGTCCAGGTATATGTTGGCCCTTGTGAAGGGCATGGGTTTCATCCCTGAGTGAAGCAGTAGCAGACAGGATAGCTGCTTAGGCTGAAATGATGGTATCTCTACTTTGCTGGGAATGGCTGGCCTTGTTGACACACGAAATCAGTAATTCTGCAGGATTTTGTAGTTTTGTGCCACTTTAGTAAGCTGAAGCAGGGTGTCAATTGTGTCGTAGAGATAATGTAAAGGAAAGGCAGGGTCAATCTAATGTCTTGCTTCTGGCCATCTCAGGATAAACCTGATGCCCATACTTTAAGCTTTGATTGTCTAAAGTATGCCAAACATCCAGTTTCAATTGGTAAACCAGTACCAGCAGTCTTGCTCACTGCTTTACTAGCAACACCTGAAAGTCAACTGTGGTTAGGGTGCCTGCTGATCAAGAATGATGGTGTGAAGCATTCAGGACTAATTCTAATTCTAATCAATCAAGATTAGACCATGACTTAACCTCTAGCAATTGAAACATTCTGACTTCTGTCCTGGTATCCCAGTCATGCTTGTTAGTTTGTTTTAATACATTTGTTTTATATTTCAATTTATTTCTTCATTGTCTAACACATCTGTGTGGTTTTTTTCTAGTTGAAAAACATTTTAAGCAAAGATCTGTATCATAATTAGCCTTGTTGACTCTTCAAGGGTATAATACACTCCAAAAAGTTTGTGGTGGAATGCACAGTTCATATCATAACTTGGGAACTTCTATACATGACCTGTCTGTGATTGCAAGTCACGTATATAAATCAGTAGTGGTCAACTTCAGCTATGATTACAGTATATTTTCAGATCTCTACAGCTGGTATTTTTATCATTTGCATTTAAAATTGAGGATTGTTCATTTATTTAAACTCAACTTTTATGAAAAGGCTTAACAGAGTATATTGTGATTAATGTCCATTCAAAAACTTAAATACAAGAAGGCCTAGTAGACAACTAGAATACCTAGTAGACAACTTCCTCTTTAAATACAGACTTGTTAGTTGTTGTTATTTTTCTTCTGAAACCTTACATATAAACCCTGCATTCAGTACAAAACTATCTTGAAAAGACATCAGTTTCTCCCTGTTCTACTTCCTTATAGAAATGCATAAGCCTCCTTGACTGCAGTGCCAGGCATTCTGCCATGAAGAAAAATGCTAATGAATTGTATCATCTGTTTCTGTTAAGTTCTTAGCAAACATTCAATGACAATGTTAATGTTAAGTGGATACAACAGACCTAATGTAAGATGAATGTGAAGAAGAGGTGCCTCTTTCTGGAGAACAAAAAAATAATGCTTAACGAGCGAAATATAGATGAACATCTAAACTTGCAGTAATTGATTTGGCTTTCCCAGTTTCAAAAATATACCTTTTTCTGTGAACCAATGTTCTTAACGCCAGAAGCATCACAAATATTAAACTTCTATTTGTTGTACTCTTCCAGCTCTCCAGTCCAGCTCTTCTAAGGAATTAATCTTTATTTTGGTTTTGGCATCAAAACTACATTAGATATAATAATAATATATGATATAGGAATATGTTGACCAGTCTTTTTTTTTTTTTTCCCCTACTTGTGTCCCTGAACTCTCTTATCCCTCTTTCATCCATTGTAGAAAGTGCCTTTCACTGTTAGACTTTCTGGTTCTTTGGCTTTTTGACACTCCATCATTATGATGTGCCTTAGCTGAAAACCATCTTTTTTGGCAGGTAAATTTGAAGAAAAAGAAGATAAAGTTCCAAAGTTGGAGCACTTAAATAACCTGGCATACATGTACAATGTGAATGTGGTACTGAGCAAGAAGGATTTGCTTAGAATGGAAATGTTGCTTCTGGAAAACTTCAACTGGAACCTGTGTATACCAACAGCAGCACACTACATTGACTACTACCTCTATGCATCTCTTGGTGAGAATGACCTTCACAATGGCTGGCCAATCACCTCACTAACCAAAGTCAAAGCTTTTATGGAAAAATATGCATATTATTTCCTTGATTTTTCAGTGCAAGGTAAGAGACTTAGTTTATGCTAGAATGATCTTCCATTTGGCAAAGGGCAAAAATCTGAAAGAGAGAAGGGTTTTAAAAGTTGTCATTATATGGACTGTGCAAAATTATCTATGTAGACCAGTGTGCCACTTGGCAGTTATTTCAGATGGCAATTGGTTGTCCTTTCCTTGCAGATTAGTCTCATCTCTTCTCAGAAATGAGATCCATTTTTTTCATCTTAGAACTCTTAACTGGCAAGGCCATGGGAAATGGTTATCTGACACAGAGTGTGAACTGTGTCACTTGTAGACATGACTGTATGCAGTTTAATATATGACTTTTCTCAGTTATGTTTTCGAGGATTCTGTGCTGACGTGATGATATGATACGACACACTTAGACTGAGCTTACACTGATTTGGATTGCAGCACCAGTTCCAACATCTGCCTGTGAGAGAGGCAACAATCCGCAGTATCCTTAAAATTTCAACGCTAATGTGAATGTATGTGACTATTGGTAGTGGACATCAGTTCACTTGACACAAGTCTAAAAACTTTGGCATAGTTAGTCTATTTCACATGTTTAATAGTTTGTTGTTTTTTTGGTTTTCTTTTAAAATCAAAACTCTCCAGTCGCCAGTAGCACAAAGCTTTTCAGTAAAGCTTGGTCCAGTTTTGACAGAATTCTCACTGGCATGAGTTGCTACTTTGAGATGTGTGGAATAAAGTTGAGGATTTAACTTTGTTATGTTGCCATGCACTACTTATTAGGCTCGCTGCGTTAGTAAGAGTATAACCCATGCTATTTTTATTCCTTCATAGATCACAGTTTCCTTCATTTTCGTCCATCTCTGATTGCTGCAGCTTCTGTGTGTGCCTCACGCATCTGTATGCAGATTTCTCCTGCCTGGACAACACAGCTTGAATCGCTCACATGTTACTCCTGGGAGCACCTTGCCCAATGCATTGAAATGATGCTCATGTAAGATCAAAATGCAAGTAACCTCTTGGCATTCTTAGCAAATTCTTAATGCTCATTTAAAACAAAACAAACAAAAGATATGCAGGAAAAAGGACCTATTAGAGCTTAATTATAGCTATTGCTTTTAGCTATTATTAAGATTACATTGGTAATCTCTACCTTTAGTATGGGGAGAGGAATAAAACGGGAAAATTGGATCGTTTTACTAAATACTGTTTTTTAACAGTATGTGCATTGTAGGATGGCACACAATTGTTCTTTTCATCTTGTACTGTTTGTCATTGGATGGAAGCTTTTACAGCTGGTTGCTGAAAGTTTTTTTCCTTTCTTTTCTCCTTGTACCCATAAAGATCTTGCTGCAGAGGGACACCGGTGTATCTCCAACACTGGGAATACAGTAGGGAGATGTTTCAGGACTATTCTTTGCTGCTTCTGCAGTAAAGGACATGACTGCAGTGTGTCATACTGGTCTGATTCATGTGAGCACATACAAGTCTCAACAGATAACGCGAAAGATTCATAGAATGATGGTGGACCATGGAGGCAACTTCAGAATTCTTCCTTAAAACAGGGCCAGTTGAACTTAAATCCAGGCTGCTTGGAGCACTGTCTAGTCAGTTGTTGGCTATCTAAGGACAGAGATTTCCTAGTTTCACTGAGCAACTTGTTTCACTGATTGATCGCCCTAATGATTATCAATGTGTGAATATGTTTCTTCCTGGTTTCTTACAGGATTTTTCCTCTTAGCTGTGCACTTAAATACTTTGCAAGTACCCACACAGCCTATTTTAAGAAAATCATGCTGTGGACTTTAAGGTCTCATAACTTTCCATAGCAAGTCCAATTGTAAATGTACTTGGGATGCAAAAATTATTCATAAACTTTCTTAGGATATGAAAATCTCACCAGAATAATTAGAAATGAACTGTGAACGTGTGAACTGTCGTATTGCCTATGGGCAAAAAGCCTGATGGGTGGAAATCTTGGAATATATGCAAACTCTGTGAATTTTCCCTGTTGATGAAACTAACTTATTTGTTTCAGATATTATGAGAATGACATCAAAGAAGCCAGTAACATAAAAAAGGAAGTAACAATCCAACATCAGCAACAGGAAGTAATGGAAAACCTGAGGCATGAAGCCGCTACTCAAGTTCTTTTTCAGCAATCCAGTTATCATCCTGTAGCCCAGCATTCAGCTAGTCTTTCCCAGTTCCAGTCACCAGTGCAGGATTTGTGCTCTGCTTATCGTGACTCCTTACAGGCACACAGACCCAGCACTCTGCTTGCTGGGAGTGCTGACAGCTCGCTGCACTCCTATGCTGCTCTTCAGGCCAGCCTGCAGCCATCTGCCCAGACTCTGCATGTCCAAATGCCTATTGCTGTGCAGGTGGCCTTAGGAACAGAGCCCAGTCACTGCATTTCCATGGCTTATGGTAGTAGTTACTTCAGCAGTTGCCATTCGTATCCAGCTGGATGCTTTGATGGATAAATACTGGCACGAGAATAAAGTGACATGAGAGAAAACTGAAGAAAAGACCCTGTGAGTGATACAAATGTTCATCTGAATGAGAACCATGAAGGAACAGAACCCTTACATCTTACTCATCCACAGGACATGGATCTGGATCCACTGATCTCTGGAAGCTGAGTGCCTTTGCCAAGGATTGTACCTTCCTCTATTCTCTATTAATAAGAGAAATAGAAATGCAGCAACATACCTCATGAAAAGTAACTTTGAAAGACACGTGCATAGCAACCCTGTGGAGATTACTACTTTCTAGTCCTCAGTGACTCACTGATCTGAGTTGGCTGAAAGCTCGTGTGTTATTTCAGGCTAGAGTGTTCTTTGAATTTCTGGTTAAGTAGCAATGTTCTTAGAGGATGTTATTGAAAACAGAGTGTTCTCTCTCTCCCAGGGATGTGTCTTTTGAACAGTGGTGGCTTATACTACTGGAAGCTTTTACAAAAAGTATCTTGAAATGGCGTTCGCTTAAATGTGGATGCTTTTTGTTTCTGCAGAAATAGATGCATAGAACACTTCAATTTTCTTTGACCTGGAGTGACAGTGCAGGAGTAAGACTGCATAATAAAAGGAACAAAGGCTGGAAGACTATCAAATAATCTTTGACTTAAAATTATCTTGGAAACAAGATGTGATGCTACTGAACTGAACCCAGAACACCGCTCTGCCTTGCTTATTTGAAAAAAAAAAAATAAATCAACAGAAACATTAAAAAGCATAAATGATTTTAGAACTTAAACATGCTGCTGTTTTTTGAGACTGGAGATTATAGTTAGTAAAACTGTTTACAAGCTTTATCAGGGATTTAATGTTACTTGAAGAAATTTTCTTTGAAAAACTCTCAAAAACTTCGGTCCCTTCAGTTATTTCGTAGTTTGGGCTCAAACGGTTTGTGGCAGTAGCTCAATTTTAGGACAGAGGAACTGCTGGTAATGTGGGCAGAGATAGGGAACTGGTTAACTTTATTGGGAAATTGGTTTAGTTGCAGCATTAGGGAGTGCTGACTTAGTTTTCTTGAATATCACCTTGGTTTTCTTGGAAAATGTTGCTGGTGAATTGCAGGTCATATTACATTATAATGAGATTTGCCTACTGTCAGATACCCAAACATTTCCTTTTCGATTGAGATCAGAGAAGACTGTATAGAAGTTTGTTTGTTTATTTAACTGCAATGTAGATATTTACAAGAAACAGACTTCTGAAATGTGAAGCTTTTAGTTTTGATACGCAACCACAATTGTGTGTTTGTTTGAAGGCAATACTGTTGGATGTCCTTTCTCCTTAAGGGTCTCAGGACTGCAGTACAGGTAATGTGCAATATGCTTTTTCTGACTTGGGGCAGCTTTTCCAAGTCATGTGTCAATGTTGTTTTAAATTATATTTTCAGAGAATTGTTTTTAAGGGTGTTTTAAGGTGGAGGGGGAAAATTAACCTGCATGCTGACGTGTGCTTGTGTAACCACCATCTGAGAATGTAATGTTTGATGTTAAGCCTGCATTCAGCAGTGATGATTTGCTGCATTCAGCAGGCTAGGGGCATTTTTTTTTTCATTTAAAAAAGGCAAACTGTAAATGAAGAGGCAGTACTCTTCAGAAATTGATCTAGAAGTGTAGAGAACTTAGTTCACTTTTAATTCTGTTGGTTTTGTATTTATATTAAACTTTATTTTTAGAAGACTTTAGTGTATTTTATAATTAGTCATTCCACAGAACTACTGAACAGAGCGATGTGGCAGTACTGTTGTATGATTTTTCTTTGTTTTTATCACCTTTCTCGTTCAGGTCACATACACTGTTACACTTTGAGCTGCCATTGTGCTTAATGTGAAAATACTTGCAACGTTTCCAGTGAAAGCTTCCAATAAATAAGTGTACAGATGAAGTATTCTGTTAATTTTTCTACTGTTATCTCTTAAGCTTTCAGGATCTAACAAGGAATATGTCTGTACCTTAAAAACACTTGTTCTGAGAACTCATAGCGTCGTACAGAACAGTGGTAGGGCAAATGCTGTGGAATGGCCTTGTCAAATAATAAGTTGTGAAGGATTGGGCAGGCAGATGAGGAAGTTGGTCCCTGTGCAGAAAGTGAGGTTTCACTCCAAGTTTCAAGTGTTGGCGTATGTAAGGGAACACAAAGCAGGCTGTGGGGGTTGCTGAAGAAACAGGCAGAAAGTCTGCAGGGATGTGAAGTAGGACGTAAGAACTGATTATTCCAGCTCATATGGCCCAGTGCCATGAAATACTGAATAGGAGAACGCAGTTGTACATTCAGTCTTTTCTTGTGGTAACTGTATTTTAAACAAGAATTGTCCATTGGCTGCTCTAGCACTGTGCCTTTGCAGCATTGGTGAATTTGAGGCAGATTTCGTTCAACAGCAGTCTCAGAAAAATACAGAAAAGATTTCTGAGAACTTAGAGTTGGCCTGATAGCGTTTTGACTGACTGTTCTCTCCAGACTGCTTTACATGTAGGTGAGAGTTCCATTCACTCACTTGCTAGATATCTGGATTTTTAAGTGACTCTTTTCCCTCTTGCGAAAACTTGGGAAGAGAGAACATAGAAGAGTTCAGATAACCAAGAAGATGCTTCTCTGTTGACTTTCTTGCCACAATTACTTTTGAAGGGAGCTGCAGAGATGCATACAAAGTTTCTTTTGAAGTGAATGGATACAAAACTTCCCTCCCTGTGTCTGTGCTGTTTGATGCTGTCATTTCTTGCATAAACATAGATCAGAATTTTTGCAGTCCGATCAACATGCAATTCCCTGGAAAGCTTTGTGAATAAACATCACTGCAAAAGCAAATACAGAGGAACATAGCTGTGAACAGAAAGCACTACGCTGCCATTGCCAAAATGAACACTAGCAGCCCGTGTCTGGCTCTATGGGCTGTTCTATGTAGTAGGTATCATGGGCACATTTTTTAAGAGCTGTAAGATGTCCCGTTGTTGTTTGAAGAGAAATGAGGAATGAGCCTGAAGAAATATCTATCACTTTCTGAGAGGATGTTCTGCAGCTGGCTCTGAATTATGCTTCAGCTTCCTCATGCAAGATAGTGACACTGTTACTGTCCTAAGGGAACAACACAGAAGTTGCATCAAGCTAACCTTGCCATCTACGTAGTGGTAGTCCATGTGTACTTCAACTTGAAGTTTTGCAAACACCCATGGCTTGCTCTCCTGATTGCTGTATACGTCTGATTTTCTTGAGCATAGACATCCAGTTTAAAAAAAAAAACAAACACAATATGCAGAGAAAAATAGCACTGCACCTCTTGTATTTAGTTTCTTAGAAGTAGTCTTCATATACTGCATATGCTTGGAACCATCGACTGCAGAAATATTTCTGATTCATGGTTTTCATTATATTGTTCCATTTTTTTCATGACTGCCAATTCATTATTACTTATCAGTTAAAACGTGATGTTAATTTGGTTTACAGATGACATTTCATTTTTTTTCTTATGATTGAAAATCCTTGGATTCATTAAGTTATCAAAGTAACTGTTTTACCCCCTCTATCCTAACCCACTCCAACCTTCATAGGAACCTATTTACACTGATAAAAATGATGCTGATTTACTGGTGAATATAAAATCTGGCATTCAAGTCCAGCTTTCCATTATCTCTGTTGCAGGCAGTTCTGCAATTTTAATGTTCATATTTCATTGAAAGCTTCTAGTAATGATATTTCCAGTCATTCTGCATGATTGTGAGAGGGGTTGCTTGCCTTTCCTGCACAAATATTATGAAGTTCAACATGAGAGCTTTATTGCCCAATTCTGATGGCTCTATTTCCCTTTAAAAGCAAAATTAGCATCAATGGAAGATAAAAATTGAAATTAGTTATTTGCTGTCTGTCAAAGGAGTATCCAGCAGGGTCAACAGCACGAGGCTTTAAGGCAGCTATCTGTGCAAGTGGCAAAATGCCTAAGTGCTCCAGAGGCCCTGCCTTTATGGGCCAACTTCACAGCTCTCTGTTTTTTTGCTTTTATTTGTTTGATTTATGCTTAGTATTGCTTTCTACCCCATCCATATTGCAGGGAGGTGGGATGGGTGTGAAATGTAAATGGAGTGTTCTTGTTGAGGGAAGAGGAAATGAGTGATACCCCTTCCATGTGACTGAAAAGGCTGAATTGGAAAGAAATGGTTTGTTAAAGCAGCAGATCTGTTTGCTGCATTACCAAAAGACTCCTTTAAGATCGAGGAGGTTTTGGAGTTGACAGATGTTTTTCTAATTAGGGGTTCAGCATTGTGTGTTGCCTTCAATGCAAAACAAGTAATTAATTGAGCAACACCTGGTCATAAGCTGTGTGTAGTCTATTTCAAGTAAACTAATGCAGATTGGAAACATTAATAGTCTCAATTAAGATGAAAAGGATAAAAGCAGTTCAGGACATTTTTTACTGCAAGATAGGTGAAATGATTGGGATTGTCAGTCATGAACAAGAGAGAAATTAGAAAATGAACTTTTGTGTACACAAGCCACATGCCCTGTCTTGTTATTAATTAACAGAGGGTGAGAACAAGCAGCTAGATGGATCCAGAAGGAATAACAGCTGGAAAAAATGACTTTAAAGTGGAAGTCTGAAAAGAGGAATCTTTGTGGACCAGATGTTGGCCAGAAATTACTTGGAACAGTGCATCCAAAAACTGTTTTATCAAATTCCTTCTGTGTTTAAGAAAACAGATTTTCACGTGTTCTTTGTGGTGGATTGTGGTGAAGAAGTAAGACTCCAACTTTTCCTGCAAGTATTCTTGAAGAATTTGGATCAACAAGAGATATTGATGAGAACAAAGTAACCATGAGAGCAGTGTGAAAGTGGATCTAATTTTTAGAGCTTCTAAATTTCTGCCTTCGAATCAGTGATAAAGCAATAGATGTTCCTCAGGTCTTACACTTTGATGTCCAGACAGAAGCTGAATGGAGCTTCCATTAAGTATGTGGTGGACAACAATTGAATATGCCAAGTATTTATTATTATATCCTGAAATAGTGATGTTGCTTCAGTATAAATAAATGCCAGTTAGTGTTTCTTTAGGAAGTCAATAAGTATCAGTGGTGAGAGTAATTTTACTCTGAAAAACAATTCTTCACATTTGTAAAACAAAGAGAAAGGGAGAGCAAACTAGATCAGAATTATTTTTATTTGTATTGCTGCTTATTTTTGAGTGTACCAGAAGACTGATTTTTTTTTTTTTTTTTAAGCAATCTTTTTGCTGGTTCTCTTGTAGACTACTCCAGAAGAAGTGGAAATCTGGAATAAAAAACACACCAGAACTTGGTTGAACAGGGTTCTTAAAGCTTCAGTCTCACAAATGGAAAAACCTATTAGCTTACATACAGAACCTGCCATTTACTGAAGCAGATTTACCCTTTAGAAGAACATATACAAACAGTAAGCTAGATAGTTTAGTCTGCTCTGAATTACTGCAGTGGTAGACTTGGCTATCACCAACTCCAAGTTGGTATCAGGTTTTTAGACAGATGATTGTTCTCCAAAAGCAATAAATGAGTGACAACATCTCTTTCAGGGATGGTGAGCACCCTTTCCTGCCTGACAGAGTAATTTACTTGTAAGTTACTATTACTCGTAGTTAAAATATTCAGACATATGTAGCTGACACAAACACAAGCCAGAATTCAGGAAGACTTTTGAGAATCAAATCAAGATTTACCACTGCCACGTGACTTCACTGATAAAATAAGACACTATTCATAATATAAGCTCTTTCAACATTTTTGTTCTAGGAGTAAGACTGAAAAATAATCTAGGGTCCTACAGAAATGCTGTGAGGAGTTACAACATGACATTTTAAAAAATAAAGTTAATGACATTTTGTACAAACAAACACAGTTCAAGTAGCAGGTGAAAAACTTTACATATTATTTCCTATTCTTTAAGCATATGCACTGTGAATATAGTCAATAAAAAACATAGCAACTCAGGAATACCTCAAGCTGAACACTCCAGTCTCTTACAGCTATGAAATTGTGTATCTGTGTATATGATACAAGACACAAAATATATAACTAAAAGTTTATTCTGTGAATTTTGGATTAGAATTTTAAGAGGTAATCTAAAAAGAAGGAGGAAGTTAATAAACTGTTTTGCTTTACTTATTTGAATGTATTTTTTTGAACTCAAAACTTAAATAATAATAATAAGACTTGCAGTCCTAAATAAAATAATCTGGATACTTGAGAACTCACCTCTACAAGCTTTCCTCCAGTAATCTCTGCAGTGTGACGATAGTTGGGAAAATCAGCTACTATTTTCCCACCTTCCATTTTAACAGTTGCCTGTAATAGACAGAGGTTTAATGGTCTCCAAGCTTACTGGCATTTCTATTATCAGTTATGCTGTATACTTCATGTTTGAAGTTTTTCCTTTAAAAGAAGAAAAACTTGTCTTTTACATATACAGATTCATCAAAAAGACTAAAATCTTTGTGCTTTAGTTCCTAAATGTAAACATTCACAATTTAAATAGAAAAATGTTCAACTAACAATACCTCTAAGTGTCATACTTACAAATAAGTCACAAACACTGTTCATCCATAGCTCTAAAAATGATCTTACTACATTCTCAGTCATCAACACTTTTTGTGTGGTTCTTTTGTTTTGACAGTTTTATGGTAACTGTTAAGTCACAGACTGACCCACTGATTGAGCACCTGGGGAAAGGACCTGGTCAGCCCTGGGAGCACAGGTGAAGGCAGTTCAGCTGTGTGATAGGAAGGGCTGCAGCCTGGCTGCACCTCTCTTAGACCTTACTTAAGGCTGAATGCCACTGGGGAAGGATTTCTGACTGGAGATCCCTCCCTTCTGGAGTCTTTCCTGCAAGCCAAGATCTTCAGAAACAGGTGAGCACGTTTTCTTTGTAACACCATTCCATCTGCTCTAGTCCCTTTGCTTCTAGACTCCTGTATCATCCTTCCACCGTATTGACCTTTCTGATTGTAACAACAGTGAAATGAAAAGTGTAATTGTATGAGTTACTTTTGAAATACCATTCTTAGATAGTAAACAGCTGGCTGCAAACAGCAGAAAAGTGACCATGAGCTAGGAATATCAATCTTCACATTGTAAGGTGCTGGACAACAAGCTGCTGGCAGCCAGCTCATTAGGTTTTTAATGGGCACTAAGATTGCTTGAGCCATGACAAGAGTAGATATTCTTCACTTTTCCATCATTCTTTACTAGTTAATAGTTTTGAAGCTCTAGCCCTCATCAAAATGCAGTACTAAATTTAGATATTTTGCTAGGACAACAAGAAACAGGGAAAAATTATATATGATGTCCAAGCTATGATAGATGAAGTAACAGATTAAGGAAGATGTACCTGAGACACGTTTGATTTTCACTCTGTATTAAAAAAAACCAACAACTGAGACTGCACAGAACTCAAGGGCTAAATTAATATACCTTGAACTTTCTACCACCCATTGTCTCCATGTCTGCTTCCTTGTCTATAGTGAATGAATTAGTTGTGGTGCGTCCTCCCGGGAAATGCTGAGTCCAGGTGAAATCATTTCCATTCTGCACCACCTCGGTGACTATTTTGCAATTCCTTCCCATTTCGATCTTGTCAGCAGGGAGACCTTAATAAATAGAAAAATACAGTTTATCTAATCAAATGTCTTATCAGCTGTGTTTGAAGTAAAGCACGCTACTGGGATGTTTGTTCTCAGACATTGATGTCTGAGTATCTGATTTGTGTTTTTGTTTCTTTATTTAAATTAGCGATACAAAGAAAAATACAAGGCAATCGATGCATTTGCTAAAACTATAGGTTTTGGTCTTGATTTCTTTTCCCTCAGGAATGATACATAATAAACGTGCAGATAGAAGGAATATATAAATGTCTGCATCTCTTACTTAGGCTACACATGCAGATACATGGAATTTCATGTGAACGAATTTGTGCCTCTGCTATACAGGTGTGCATACCTACTTATTATTTGCATTTGCTTTTTAAACAGAGGAATAGAAGTGCTGAGTTTATGACACAGATCATAGTGTTCCTAAGAGATTTTCCAGGAGTGATCCAAACACAGGCTTACACAATTTTTCTGAAAGGCTTCACAGAAACCTGCTCCAATATAAAACAACTGACAAGATTTTCATACTTAAAATCTTGTTCTTAATAAGAATGAGAACTGATTCTCCTTGCTGAAGTGTATAGCACTCCAAACAATTCTATCTCCTGTTGATCTCAACATGTTTCAATAAATTGCTTTACTTAAACAAGTATTTCTAGCTAATTTAAAACCCTTAAGGCTCATCCCAAAATATACTTACCAATCTTCTTCACAAAGTCATCGTAGTTCTCATCACTTTCAAATTCGTATTTGCCTGCGAACGCCATGTTGCCTTGGGGATGTGGCAGGTAGAACAGAATAGCTGCTGGAACAAAGAAAAATGGGTAAGTGCAGATGGCCTGAGGACCTTGTTTTTATAAGCCAGACCAAGCTGTTCAGCCCACTGTAGTCACACCCCTTGGAAATGTACTTTTATGATCTAAGTGAGTCATTAACATGGATGCCATTGACCTATATGAAAATGAAGGTCATAATTCAATAAAAGATCCTCAACTAATCTGGAGATCAGCAGAAATCAAGGGCAAAAGATGAGTTTCAGGTTTTGTGCATATTGAAAGAAAGTGATGCATATTTATTTTAAATATCCAATTGATTTTGCAGGTACAGTAGAACAATAGTAAAATAAGTTATGATAAACAGAGAGAAAATGTCTTCAAAGCAGTGTCCTTAGATCACAATCCTGCTGTATTTGGAAGCATATCTTGTATTAGTTAACATATGAACATAGGAAACAAGCTGCACTGATTCCTATGTAATTCTGCTGAGACACGGCCAATTCTGTGTAAATTACTCCACCTTCCTTATCCCCTCATGAAAAAAAAGAATTGTGAAATATATTACATTACTTGGATATAAAGTACATTGGATGTGTTGATAGATGGCACCATGTTCCCGTATCTTTTTTAACATCAGAAAACAAATAGTGCTTTATATTGCTTAGTGAATGTTTGCACAAAGTACAAACGTTTTAGAAGCATATACATACTTGGGAAATGCAGAATTAGAGTTCTGATTTGTGTAAGATGCTCAAAGTTTATTGGATAATCTAGAATGCGTCCAGGAGCAGGGTAGGAAATCCCAGCTGCTGTGCATTGGCATTGCTCCACAGGCCAATGACACGGACCAACAATCTGAACAAAAGCCTTCCAAGGACTTATGTACTAACAGTGTGATAGCACTGGAATACACAAGGCACCTGAGGTTTGAATAGAAAAACGTCTCCTGTCTTAGGAAAATCTTTGCAGTTCTGAAACTTTTCCTTATAGAGGCAAATTGAGAGGGATACCAGAACAATACATTGGCCAGAGGGTTGAAAGGCTGAATCAGGTGCGAAGGGCACTTCTGATGGAAAAGAATGTTATGACTGCAAAAGCCCCCAGAAATTGATTTGTAAGAGATTACACCTATGGATTAGAAGAGATCTTGCCTTGTGTTTACAACTTGGAAATTTATTTCTGTTTTTTCTCCCCCACCTACTTCCTCTTCTGAGGTCTGAGAGAGTAACTTCAAAATCTTACATCTTAAAAAGAAGATATAAAACTTTGGTACAGAGGTGTGTTTTTTGAAGTTGACAACAACTTTTTCAAAACTACTTGTTTTGGCATGCGCTCATGGTGGGAAAGCAGCTTTCTAGAACAGATGCAGAAAGTGAACAAAAGGGAAACATAAAAAAATCATGGTCAATTTGTAAAATAAAAATGGAACAAATGTCCTCAGAATTATTGCCTTCCCACCCCTAACCCCTCACTCCCCCCATGTTCACTCAGCTTTAAATCGTACCACGCTGTGCAGCGGCTGACTGTATTGTGCTGGAGTTCGTGACACCACAAAAGCCATACCATCTGCTGTCTGCTTGCAATTAAAAGGATGTCTCCCCACTTGAAATAGAAGGGAGCCATATACCTTTCCTCAGTGAATGTTCTCCCTGTTCTGTGATCAGCATTCAAAACACAGGGGAGTGGGAGAAAAGTACTTAACTGTTCTGTTGTTGTTTATATGTGTGTGTGTGTGTGTGTTTATCAGTTACAAATTCAAAAGATTCAGGAAAGAAACAGAAACTTGCTTTGCAGTTAGTGTTACCTTCATGCTGATTTTCAAGTGTCTGCCAAAGGATTCTGTCTGTTCTGAAACTACATTTGACACATTTTCTTTTAATTACAACTCCTTCAGCTCAATCTCAAGCTTGGGCAGGAGCAGATAGCTGAGAAAGAAATTTCCCCTAACAGCTAGGCCCAGATTCTTAGGTCCTGAGTAGATGAAGTAGCATGGCATCAGCAGAGAAAACAATGAAGTGGTTGCAAGCACAAAATCCTCTGTTCTTACTGCTATAGTAAAGCTTAGTAGGCACCAGTTAAGCTACAACTGTGCCATTAATAGAGGCAAAACAAACAAGCAAACAAACAAACAAACAAAAAACAAACAAAAAACCAAGTGCAATTACTATTCACTCCAACATAGATTCCAAAATATCATTTGCAGGAAGGTATCATCAACTCCACTACATACTTGAGCAGGCTGAAACACAAAGAAAAAAGAAGTGACCTGTCAGAGCATATAATGTATGCAATGGATGACGCAGCAAGAAACCCTAAATCCGTGCATAAACCCCACGTCTAAGAAATGGCACTTCAATTTAAACATTCTTATAATAAACAAGTCACTAGAAGCAGACAAGGAGAGCTCTGGACAATCAATTACTTTCACACAGTCACCCAGGGAGTTCTACAGTTGTTCCACTGCTGGGCTGTGAGCAAGTGTTTCTTGCTGCCTTGCCCAGCTGGCTGTGTGTCTGGATCATGATGCACTCTGCTCATGGCTCTACATGCTCTGTATACTAAAAGGTGACCAATGTCCAGCACCCACTGTGCTTTTTGGGACTGGGGACCACTGATAGACACTGTCTCAGGTTAGCTCAGTAATGAAGGCCCCTGTCTTGCTCTCAATGTTTCAGAGAGACATACATAACTCTGTGAAGAAGGTAAATGAACCCAAGCCATAAACCCATCTGTTTACATTAAACTTATTAGGGGCCAATGCCATTGGTGCTGTAATGCCACATGGACCTTGAAGGGTAGATCATACTGGATAAGGAAAATGGTACAGCTCTGTCAAACAGGAAGAAGATAACCAGATTATAGGAACAATACTTGAGCTTTTACATTCTCTCTCTTTATAAAGATTAAAATTACACTGATAATTATCTTGTGATGTGATATAAAAATGCTGACAGCTACACAACTCTAAAACAGTAGAGCTTGCCTGCACTGGGAATGGGGGAGGCACAGAGCCAGCATGTAGTACAGTGAATTACAGGTGAACAGCTACTTGACTGGGTGGGTCACTCTAAGTTTATTCACCTCCAAAGAGTTGTACACTATACCACACATGCAAGCTGCAGCATATGTTACAAATCTCCACATCTAAATGAAAATAAAACTACATGGTGCCAGTAACTGTGCTTATTCTGTCCGGGTGTTTGGAATCAGAACAGTTTAGAACAAGTTTTGAGCAAATTTCTGTACCTGTCTCTGCAGAGGAATTTTTAATGTGCATCGTGAATTTTCATCCATTTTCTGTTCACTCATTCTGAAATAAATTCTCTCTTTAATTGATGTCTTTTTGTTGTAAAAACTAACAAAATTCAGGAGAGTATTGGAAAATTCAGAATATCATTACATAGACTTTTAGATAGTGAATCTGGATAATGTTTATTCCAAGAATAAAGGGATGGAGACCCTCTGACTTTAATGAGATTATGGTCACTTTCACAACTGCTAAGGTTAGTTAATCAAGTTCCTCTCTCTTCGTTATCAGCTAAAAACTGCATTCATTTAATGACCTCACATTATATTTACAATATTCATGGTTTTCTTGCCTCTTCAGAGCTGAGCTTTCAGTGTTACTTCTGCATACCTCTACAGCAGTGCTTCATCCTTGGAGGGCTGAGCACTGAGCAAAATGGTGCAGAATGACCCAGTTAAAAAAAGAATAAATGAAAAGAAAATCATCTATGTCTTTTTCATAGTATGAAGACTTCACTATGTATTTAGTCCACTCCATCTACTACTGTGTAGGTACCTGCACACTGATGCAAGCATCCTTGTGTATGTTATGCTTCTACTTAACAAAATTGATTTGAAATGCAACTGAATTAACAGCTATATCTAAGATCAATGGAAAAATAAAGGGTGTTTTCCTGTTCACATTCAAAGGTGAAAAGGGAAGGCACAGTGCAGGAGTTATAATGGAGAAAGACAAAAGAATAAAAAGCTTCAGGTGCAAAAGCTGAAAACAACTTTTAAAACCTTATTAACTTCACTGTACCTGGCACTATCATTTTCAGTGGAGGAATAAACAGCTGTTTTTTATGGAAGTCAAAAAATTATTCTACAGAAGATCATGCCATCTGGCGGCCAGCTCCCAAGGCCTGTCTGCCATGGGAGGAGCACGTCCTGCAGAGCCCTGCCTCATGTATGTAAGCCCCTGACTTCCATTACAGCACACCAGGGTTTGTAACCAGCCTGGTGCCACAGCTGAACATCCAAGATCAAACCCCAGTCTCATTCTCTGACTGCTTAAAACAAACAAAGAAAAATTCTGCCTGAACCAGAAAATCACCTCAAAATAGTCATATTAATTGTATCATTTTCACACAAACAATTATCTTCATGTTTCATTTTCTGACATATTTCTAAAGGACGATGATTTCCTAAACACTGGATTATGGCATCACTGAAACGCCATACGTTGCTAGCCTTTGCTTAAACACAAATACATTTCAAATACATTTTATTGCTATTTTGGCAATCAACAGCATGCAGGACTGCCTCATATATATTTAATAGAATTGTTACAGGTCAGAGGATAAATGCTGATAAATGCTGGCTGCCCTGAATTCAGTCAGAATTGTCTAACGTGAAGCTGTAACTTCAGCAAGAACAATTTAATGAATCTAACTTAATGTGTAAATGTTATTTGCGACAGATTGGCATCTATGAAATCTGAGTAGATACAACTGTCACAGAAACATAAACAAGGGTGTGTGTGCTTAAACAGAGCAGACAGAAGGCAAGGAAGTGGTATACACAGGCTTTTTACATTGAATTTGTCTGACAAAGTAAAAATCCAAACCAAAACAAAAAACCACAAGAGATGCATTCACAATCAAGCTCATCTATCTTAGAAACTTTTCTGAATCACCGAACTAACATCAGCACACAGCAAACCTCGGATTTGAACGGCCAGGACTTTGGGAAAGAATCAAACTATTAATTACAATGAGAAGTTACACAGAGAGGCTGTATG